AGGATTTGTACAAATGTAAAATGAACACATGTCAAAGGTTTCATTTAACTCACGGAGCCAATAAGCTATTACAACTACTTCAGAAGAGAATTCAAATACCACACATTTACAGTCAGATATGGATTGCTGAAATGAACTTACAAATGGATGCAAAACTGGGCAGTATCCATAGGGTGATGATTAATTGCATTTTACCAGATACAATTTGCATGTCTGTGGACAGAAATTATTTACATTACTGTCCATTTTCTACAAATTAACTTGTACCTCTACAGAGTTGTGAAATAGCCTAGTCAAGGACAAAAGTGGAGATAACCCAATGGATCATCTGGCCAGGACACAATTTTTCCTTTCACATGCGTGCGTGCGTGTGTGTACACATGTGTATATATGTATATGACTAATTTTTTTATGAATCTTTGAAAGTAAGCTAAAGACCTTATGACATGTTGCCCCTAAATAATAAAGCATTCATCTCCTAAGAATGACATTCTTCTACATAAGGACAATAATATCACACCTAAGAAAATAAAGAATTCTATAGTATCATGATATTATCATGATATTATATTATTTTTAAATTTCCCCAATTGTCCCAAGATTCTTTTTATATCTTGTGTGTGTGTGTGTGTGTGTGTGTGTGTGTGTTTGAATCAGGATCCAAGGTTCCTTTATTTCAGGCTATTTAAAAATTTTGAAGAGCTAACCCCTTGGGACTAAATCTTCTGGTGAGTAATCCTAGTGGCCTTTCTTGTGACATTTCATTTAGCAATGTTTCTGAAACAGATCAGATGCTTTAGGCTGTCATCCTCTTCACAGGAGAGCCATATCACTTTCGTTAACATGGTCATGAACTGTGTGCCCTGTGCCCAAGGGAACTGAACCTATGGGCCCCTTGCTATTTAGGCAAAAGAAAATTATCTGTTGTTATGGGGCTGTTGATCAGCCTTTGTATTGTACCCAGTTGGTAACTGCCTTGCCTGTGGGGGTTCTCATGCAGAAAGGAGAGATTACCTAGAATAGAATAGTCTGTTCCTTTGGGATGGAAAGGAAGCGTGGAAATTCAAGATAAAATGAGAGGCCAGGGAAAGTGGACATGCTTTAGCATCCCTTTATTGAAGCTGATTTTCTTTTCTTGAATTCTGACTTGAGAGCTACGTAGTGTTCAGAATTCTTCACGACTTAGGTAACTTTGTTTTTTTTCATAGCCTCATTTCTCCTATATTTAAAGAGAGAATTTTGATAAATTTTTAAAAGGAATTTAATTATAGATCTTGCCTTATTGATTATGCAGTTATTATGACTACTTCTCTTAACTCTGCCCCAAAGGCTAAATTTCTAAGTCTACTAATGTGTTGGAGGTCCCCAAGACCACCCTAGGTTTGATGCTTCACTCCAAGGATTCAGAGACCTCAGCATGTAGTCATATTCATGGTTGTGATTTATATCAGCAAAAGTCTACAAAGCAAAATCAGCAAAGGGCAAAGGCTCGTGGGGTGAAGTCTGGAGGAAACCAGGCACGAGCTTCCAAGAGTCCTCCCTGTGGAGTCACACAGGACGGGCTTATTCCTCCAGTACGGAACTGTGGCAAGGCAAGGAAGCTCATTAGACACTCGCTGCTCATGGTTTTTATTGCAGGCTGGTCACATAGGCACCTTCTGCCCAGCACTTCTCAAAATTCCAGACTCTCAGAAGGAAAGTAGCTGTTCAGCATAAACCATGTTGTTTATACAGTTAGGCACAGTGAGCCACTCTTAGCAGTTCTGGGAATGGTGGGACCCCTCCCAAAATCAAGGTTCCCAGATGCCAGCCAAGGGTCAACCTTGCAAGCAGACCTTTCTAAGGATAGCAGTCTCAGGCCTGGTATGTTAACTTTTTATATACAACTAACTTTTTTTTTTCTTCTGCTATGCAAATCAGAACATTTAAAGAATGCTTGCATCTTCCCAGTAACAAATTTACTCAGATTCTATATAACACTGGTAGGCTATATGGGGAGATGGGGGTCCAAAAAAGGATGTTCCATGTTTTGGGGATTACTTTGACTTTTCTCTTCCCTAGATAAATATTTTTAAATTTCTCTGTTAATCCATTACTATTTGTCAAGAAAAAAACCTACAGGCTTATTACTGAGTAGCATTTTTAAAGTTGTACTCTAAAAACCACACTGTGTGCTCTGAGGTGATCTTTTTCTTAAACAATACACCAGTTCCTAAAGACAACCATGGAATAGGAGTAGATTTTTGCAAATCATGTATCTAATAAGGGACTTGTATCTAGAATATGTAAGGTACTATTACAAGTCAGTAATAAAAGAAAGATAGCCCAATTTTTAAAAAAATGAACAAAATATCTGAATAGACGTTTCTCTAAAGAAGAGATACAAATGGCCAATAAGCCCATAAAAAGATGCCCAACATCGTTAGCTATCAGGGAAATGGAATCAAAACTACAATGAAGTACTGCTTCACACCCGCTAGGATGGCTACGATAAAAAATACAGATAGTAACACGTTGGTGAGGATATAAAGAAACTGGAACCCTCATGCACTGCTGGTGGGGATGTAAATGGTACAACTGCTTTGGAAAACAGTCTGGCAGTTCCTTAAATGATTAGACGTAGAGTTACCATATGATCCAGCAATTCTACTCCAGGTATATACCTCTGCCTAGGTAGAAATGAAGACATATGTCCATCCAAAAACTTGTCCAAGAATGTTCATAGCATTATTCATAATAGCCAAAAAGTGGAAACAACCCAAATGCCCATCAACTGATGAATGGATAAACAAATTGTGTTATAGCCATATAATGAAATAGTTACTCAGCTGTAAAAAGAAATGAAGTACCAGTACATGCTACAGTGTGGATGAAGCTTGAAAACATTATGCTGAGTGAAACAAGCCCCTCACAAAGGACCGTATATTATATGATTCCATTTATGTGAATTATCCAGGATAGGCAAATCTATAGGGATAGAAAGTAGATTAATGGTTGACAGGGACTGGGAGAATTGGGGGTGACTGCTAGGGGATGTGGAGTTTCTTTGTGGGCTAGTGAAAATGTTCTAGAATTGATTGTGGTAAGAGATGCACAACTCTGAGTATACTAAAATCCATTTAAGCATACACTTTAAATGGGTGAGTTGAATGGTGTGTGAATTATATCTCAAGAAAGCTATTAGAAAAATATACCAGTTCTTGAGAGAAAATAAAGTGAATTGTTATTTGTCCATTATTATGAACAGCTGACTCGTAGTACTCAGGTATTGATTTGAATTCATAAGATTTTCAGGCATGCGTCAGTTACTAACTGCATTGCAATATCACTTGTTCATTCTGAAGAAGAGTGGTTAGGAAATTTAAAGAGAAATGACACTATGTTGGGACTGTTTTAAGCATTTTCTTCTTTGCAGTGTGACATACCTGTGTTTCTGTCAGGAATCTTAGTTGAGAAATAAACCTCCATTTTCCTCATGGAGTAGTTGGCTGTTCATGTTGCCTGGGGGGCGGGAACTGAAGGTGGGACTTCTCATTAAGGAACTCTTGTCTGGAAGCTTTTCTTCCTAGGAGTCTTAAGTGTCAGAATGCTAAGGGGGAGATGGGCTCATCCATTAGCCTTTGAATATTATTAAGTCATATGGATCTGAGTCGGCTTGTATTTGGGTAGAGGAAGTGAGTTTTCCTTCCATTTGGTTTTCATTCAGAATTCATCGATTCACTTAGCCATAACAGTATATTGTAGGCAAATCTTTATTTAACGATCTTACTGACCTATGTTTCTTGTATATTTTTCTATCCCTTTCAGCTTTCAGCTAAGGAAGGCATGACTGAGAAATGCAGTCATGTTTCATCTAGGCTGGGCCGTTATATTAGTCCCATGTGTGCGTCTGGAATGGAAAAAGAATTATGAGGAATCTGGGACAACTTTCTTATTCCTCCTGAGTCAGGTTCTCAGAGCAACTTCAGTCTGTTTTTTAAAGTGTTGTAAATTCTTAGCCAGATCATCCCTCAAACTCATGTTCAAAGGGAGATACCAAAGCATATCCTAAAACCGAAGATGAGTGAATTTTAGATTGGCTGCCATTTCAGACGATTCACATCAGTGCTCCCCTCATCATCACAAATAATTCCTGCACCCTTGTCAAAGGGACCGGAAGCTCTAACTCAGTGGGTGTTGCAGAAATAAATAAGACACTTTTTGAAGTTTCCCAGAGAGGACTTTATTATGTGTCTTGAAATCTTTACGAGGACATGCCTCCCCACAGAGCGAGGATGCCACTGAAGGTGAAACCCTGTGTCCTGTGAACCAGCCCTCCCCCGTTACCATACCCTCTCCTTGCAGAAGCTGCACTGTGTGACCATAAATGCTGTGGCCTTCAGAGGACACAGGTCATCTGGTTTCTTTTGTGACCTAACTTTCTGAGAGCCTTCTTTTTATGGGACTGTGGGGTCCTGTGTGTGACGTGGGACCAACGACCAGATGTGCTATTTCTTTGGTGTTCCTACGGTTGATGTTCTTGTAAATCCCTCAGGGGATTTCAATACTGTTCAATCTGCATGTAAACTGTTCAATCTGATAATAAGAAGTATGAACCTTGGTAGGAGTTAATTGTGTGTTTGAGAATGGCCAATTAAATACAAACAATTTCATAGAGCAGGCAAGAATCAATCTTTCTAGCAAAATGTATCTGTCTTTGTCTGCTCCCTAAGTAACTGGTGCCAAGGTGCCAAACTCCAGAACTGCCATTAGTTTGGATATTATGGATTAGTTTACTGGAGAAGTTGATTGTGATGCCAGCATGGTACTGGGTGTCCTCTCCCTCTCCTTGTCTAAGCCTGTCATCCTGCAGAGCAGCTGAATGCAGTCCTGTAGGACTATGAAGGACAAAACCACACCAGCCGTGTAGCCAGTATGCATTTGTGGCAATAGGAAGAAAAGTTGATAGAGGTCTCATCTGTATTTGTTTTCTCTCTCCCTGTTTCTTGCATCCTCACCAGGCCAAAGTAGAAGAAAAGATCCAAGAGGTCTTCAGTTCTTACAAGTTCAACCACCTTGTACCAAGGTAAGCTGTGGTTAGGGGTTTGAAGGGATCTGGGAGACACCAGCTCCTGTGGGAGCCTTTCTCCTTTCCTCCTTGAGCTTCTCAACCTTGGGGGATAAGTCTGCTGTGAGCTGGTGTTTCTTGAACTTGTGGCTACCTGGATAGGCTCATGACCCCAATGCCTTCCTCTGTTAGAATGCTTTTTGGAGGAGATGCCAGTTGGATCTGAGCTGCAGGTGTTATGGGGCTGCCCCTGGAGGCCTGAACTCTGAGGTCTGAAGATGGAGAGAGGAACTTCATGTTTCTGTTGCTTGGTTGTGACCTGCTGCTTTGGTGTTCAGATCAGAACTCTCAGGCTTTTCTTTTTCATATTACACTTTGAAACAGATGTCAAGTCCAGGGGGATGGCCAGGGACGGATTCCTTTGATGTATATTGTTGTTCGACTGCGTAACTGTGAGAAGTTTGAGCTTTTCCCAGCCTGGCCCTTTATTGGTGATTGTGCAGCAGATCCCAAGGATGAAATTTCAAGTGAGAAATAAAATGCCTCTTATTTTCCTTGGCGCTTAGCAAGTTGAAGTCTTCACTGCTCTTTGATGTCAGAAATTCCAAAAAGGGTATTATAAGCTGAAGCTTATTTAATTTGAACCTTTATTTTCTCTTTTTTCCAGTTTTGTCATGTTTCACACTAGAATTTCACAAGGTTATTTCGTGCCTTTATTAGCATTTCTCTTCTAGTCACAAAGTATTTCTCTGAAACCATTCTGTGTCATGTTTCCAGCCATCAGAACTGATCAGTAGTCCAAAACTGCGTGTGGTCATCATTTTATCTTAATGATACAGCGCTTTTCCTTGACAACCTGTGAACAAAGTGTCGTTAGGCTGCTGGCTGATTCACGCTGGATGGAAAGCTGAAGGGTCTGAAGTCCAGCCCGACCCCCTTCATCCTGTCTCCCAGACTTCTGAGACCTAGCAGACTAGCTCCTGGCAAGTCAGACTCGGGTACTTCTATTTAATGGTTCTAGGCTGAGTTAACTTTGTGTCTTTTTTGCTATCACTCTGTTTTGCCACTATTTCCTTGAAAAAAAAAAGTCTGTCTGAAAATTCTGATTAGCCACGGCTGAAAACAATTGGAAAAGGCAAAGTGGGAAAAGGGAGAGACAGGTGTGAAGGAAAGAAGGGCAACATCAGCTAGAGGAGGGAGTCTTTCCCCAAATGGCTAAAGTAAATCTCTGCATTAACCCGAAGCTCAGACCTCAGTTAATGAATTATTGCTCCTGTCGTGAGCCACAGCTGGAGATTAGCAAAGGGAGCCATTTGTTTCGGCAGCTCCGGGACAGCGACTCTACCCGCCCCGGCTGAGCATCCCCAGAGGTGGCAGGACGTGGAGATGGTGCGGCGGCATTGCTTCAGGAGGGGCTTTGTGGTCAGCCCTCGCCTCCCCCATGACTAGCCTGATTGGGCTCTGAGTCACTGTCTACTGTCTGCTCCTCTGCGGACACATGTCCTCTGTGTTTCCAAAGGCACCTTGATCATTCGACTTTCCTGTTTCACCCACCATCAGAATGAAGCCCTTGGATTTTCCTTGGATTCTTACTGACATATGAGAGAGAATGGGAGGTGAGAGTCTGGGAGGAGGAAGCAGCCGCGTTTGGGGAATGGTGGTAGAGGACAAGTCAAGGAGTGAAATCCCCTGACTCTGAGGTCTTAGGTCAGCTGTGGGTAGAAAACAAAAATGTTCCTCCTAGGTTTGGATCCTTTGTGGAAATAGAATATATCAGGGCTCTGTGTTTTAATTCAGGAATCTGACATTTTCCCATTGTTGCCTATGAAATTGGGCATTTTAAAGGATGCTAATTAGTATCTTATTATGTCACAGCATGCTAATTACTATTAGAGATGGTACACATTTTGGCTGAAGGCTGAGTATATAAATCAACACGTCAATATGAGGCTGAGGCAAAACATCAAACGAACTCCTAGGATATAAGAATAAATCCGAAAATTTATCATAATTTTAAGTTATCACAATTTCAATATTTAACATTTCAGTGGTCAAATTTTAAAAGTTTGACAATGCAGGAACAAATCTTCATTGTTAGCTAAGGAGAATATTCTGATATTAACAGTAAATCTAGATGACATGGCTTGTTTGTATTTCTGAGGTCATGATGCTGATCAGATGTGATAGAATCACACATACTCCCAGGACCACTGACCACGCACAGGTCCAGGGATGCCAGGAATGATGCTGAGGGAGGCATTTGTCTATTCAGCCTTCCAGAGCCACAGCCAAATAGCAGATTTGGCTGAAGTTCAAGGCTGAAGCTGAATGTCAGTACATTCTACAATCATCCCAGAAATGACTTTCCTCTCTAAGACTGAAACATGCGTCCTGTCCTGGAGTGAGGTGGTCCGTCCTGAGGAGCTTTTTGACCATGCTTTTCAGTTTTGTTTATTAGCATCCTGCTTTCCCATGAAAGTTAATTTTTCTTTCTCCATGGTTATTCTCATTCTTCCACACACTTGTGAATTTACAACCCTTTTCCATTTATTACATTAGGTTTAGTAAGAAATCTGAAATGCATAAACACACACACAAACTCACATATAATTTTACAATTGTTTTCTCTTGGGAAAAAATGGCCTGGTGCTCCTTAGAAGTAAGAAATATTGATAATGTCCCCATGTTAATGGACCACTGAAGGCTGAGTGTTGACGGTTGCCCTGAAGCCCAAATCCTGAGTTGAAGCTCTCAAAGTTCTCACACTGGTGCCTGCTTCGCTTCCGTGTTTTCCTGCCGTTTCCATATGCGATGCTACTTTAGAATTTCCCAAATCCTGAGCAGTTAGAAGATGCAGTCCTTCATCCTGTTGCTCTTTCCAAGGTCCTTACAAATGACTTCACCTCCCCCCACCCTCCCTCGAGTGACTTCTTACTTACGTGGCAGAAGCTTTCTTTCTGACTAGAGAAGCCCCTGGCTTTAGTGGGTTTAAAACCTTCCCGGGAGCCAACAATGGACTAAATTCCTGTCCTCTCATCTGTCTCAACCAAAGGCCTGACTCTCAGGGATGGTCCAGGGTTAGGGGGATGAAGTGTGTTGGCTGTCATTCACTCTGCCATATTCATTCAGTCATTCATTCCTTCACTCATTCGGAAACACTATCTAGAGGGTCCCCAGGGGGCCAGGTACTCTGCTGGGCTCTGAGAACAGGGTGAGCAAGGCTGACCCAGCTCCTGCCTCTGCTGGGCTCTCAGTCTCATGGAGGAAGGGGCCATTAAACAATGGAATGGAAATATGTAGTTACTAATGGGATGAGTATCGAGGAAGAGAATGGGATGCTCCGAGAGAGGATAGCAGGGAGGATGTAATTTCGGTTGGGAAGTCAGGGAAGGTGTCTTAGTTCCTTCTGGCTGCTATAACAAATTACCATCGACTGGGTGGCTTAAACACCAGACATCTATTTCTCACAGTTCTAGAAGCTGGGAAGTCCAAGATCAGAGCACCACCGGATTTGCAGTCTGAAGAGGGCCCATTTCCTGGTTCATAGACGGCCATTGTCTCACTGTGTCCTCATATGGTGGAAGGGGTTAGGGAGCTCTCTGGGGTCTCTCTTATAAGGTCACTAGTCCCTTCATGAGGGCTCCACCCTCCTGACCTAACCACTTCCCAAAGGCCCCACCTCCGAACACCGTCACATTGGAGGTTGGGACTTGAACATACGAGTGCTGTATTCAGTCTATGGCCACAGCCATTCAGTCTATGGCAGAAGGCCCCCAGAGAAAGTGACTCTCAGGCTGAGCCCTGGAGGTGAGCAGGAGTTGCCAGTTGAGGAGGTGGCGGGAGTGTTCCAGGCAGAGGAAACAGCATGAGCTAGAGTCCTGAGACGGAAGAGAACAAAGAAGGCAGTGGCACCGGAGCTCAGGGAGGACGTGGGATGGGGCTGAAGAGAAGTAGGTGAGGCATGTTGTGTAGGGTCTTGAAGCCCAGTGGGGTTCAAGCTGTAGTAAGAAATAGAATTACATTGTATTTACGATTTACATTGCTGCCCGGTACACATATAAGTTCCCACTCCAACAGTGGAACCCGACTCCCAATATCCTTAATATGTTTGCTTATTTGATCATTCCCCTTGTGTGTCCTGATCCCCCGGCCCTCTCTGCACAGCCACACAGATGCCCTCCTCATCCCCTCCACCGCCCCGCTCCTGCGTGGAGCCCGTCTTGTTCTGCTCCACCCAGTTGAATGGCTTTAAGGCTGACTTGTTCAGGAGGAAAAGGGAAAGAGTTTTTCTTTTTTAACTCCTTGCATGGAGAAGATTTTTGGACAGAGGTGAGTTGAGAATAAAGGCATGGTAAGGGTATTAGTTTGCTGGGGCTGCCACAACCAAACACCGCTGACTGGGTGGTGTAAACAACGGAAATTTATTTTCTCGCAGTTCCATCCAAGGTCACGGCGCTGGCAGGGTTGGTTTCTCCTGAGTTCTCTCCTTGGCTTGCAGGTGGCCACCTTCTCCCTGTGTCCTCACGTGACCTTTTCTCTGTGTGATCCTCCTTGGTGTCTCTTGCTCTTCTTATAAGGTCATGAGACCTCAGTTGACCTGAAGGCCCTCTCTAAAGGCCCTGTTTTCAAATACAGTCACATTGGGGACAGCGGGCTAGGGCTTCAACATCCAAATGTTGGGGGGCACAATTCAGTCCATAACAGTAAGCCTCTCAGTACAGCTTCTGGCCGACTAAAAGAAATTGGATATCTGTCCCTTCAATTTGAAAGAACCATAAACCTCAAAGGAGAAGTTAAAATTCAGTCAGTTAGCATTGGGGCCCTTGAAGCTCTACATAAACATGCAAAGAAACCTTTTCCAAGATTGTAGAATAACATATGTGTATTAGCATTAGTGTGTGAGTGTTGATGATGAAGCCGATGAAAATGGAGAACAGTTTCCCGTGTGGAAATGGTTGCAGAGAGGAGTTTCTCTTCCCCTGCTTGTGGCTGAAGTTGGTCTTCACTGAACCCAGCTAAAGGAACTCATTAGTTCCCTCCCAGCAGGACATCTAGGACCTGGCTGTGAGTGCGGTTCAAGGAGTAGGAGAGCTGCTGGGGACCCCCCCGGGGCTGCCTCAGGGCCTGGCCTTGGGGATCAGCCTGGAGCTGCAGAGGAGGTGACTGACTGCCTTCAGTTAGATGCTTCTGGGCAGGTGAGGCTTCAGGTAGTGTCATTTCTGGATCCTGAAGAGTGAGCAGAGTCTCTTACCCTCTAGAAGCAAAGAGCATTTGGCTCTGAGGTGTCCCATTTCCTAGTGACTGAGAAGCCCTTGTCAAGTGAGAGGAGTGCTGAGAAGACAAGGAAGAGGGCTCCTTCTCCAGGTTTTTTTTTCTTTTTCCAGTAAGAGGAGGGAGTTGTCTAGTTGCTTAATTCAGCACTCTAGGAATCCTGAGTCCCGCAGGGAAGGCTGAGCGCTGGCTGCGGGTCTCCTGCAGTGTGGTGCATGTGAGCACCAGAGAGCTGACAGGGCCGCCTCCCGGGAGAGCAGACATGGCCTTCAGCCTCATCGCCCCTCTCCTGGCCTCTCTGTTTGATCGAATTTTAGCTTCCCCTTTGAGGTTTGTCATCTTTTAAAGTGAAGGGACATTTATGCAGGGAGAACAGCCTCTTTTGGTCAGTCAGAAACTGGCCTTACCATTCCTTTATTCTTTCTCCCATTCATTCGACAAATGGCTGTGGAGAGCCTGCTCTGCGCTGGGCACAGATGCTCCAGCCATCGTGAGCTCTCCTCCCAGAGGACAAGCAGTGGAGTAGGCAGGGTACCTTCCAATAGGTACAGCCCCCCGCTCTGCTGGTCCCTTTCCCCAGCATTATACTTAAGGTCTCAAAATTGTATTTGCAAGAAACCTTTAATGCTGTCTTGCCTGACATTTCTAAGTGAGGTGGCTAGTGTTCTCGCCTCTGGGGCTTAGCATCTCAAGGTATTTGGCATATTCAAATTCCTTTGACTGTTTTTCAGATGGAAAAGAATTGGCCTATAGAAAATCCCACTGTGAATGGGTCCTTTCAGAGTTAGAAGTCAGGAGTTCTGCCCCCACATTCTGTGCTTGCCCTCACCTGGCACAGGTTTCTCAGCCTCCCCTCGCTTCTCCAGTGGGTCCCTGCCTGCCCTCGTTAGTGGGCTCTTGGACCCTCCTGGTTTTTCTAGTCCATCATACTCGTCCTGGCCACACCCAGCCTGCTCAGCCTGGGCCAGCCCGTGTGGTGAGCCGTGTCAGCAATTCTCTCATCTCATCCGGTTCCTCACGCCCCTACCTTTCTGCTTTTCCCATCTTATTAGTCCTTACTAGCATCCCGTCGCTGCTCCTGCTAAAGGGTGTCAGCAAGCTTTCCAAGAAGAAAATCATGGAACAGTGCCTGCTGAATGGCTTCCCCAAAAGTTTATATTCATTGGCTTCAGCTGGGCCTTCGCTACTGCCTTATAATCCTTCTGTTCACCTCATGGAGATTCCCTAACCCTTTCGCTACCGTGGCCAATCCACGACTGTCCCAGGATCTTGCCTCCTAATTCCGGAGAAAATTGAGGCTGTTTCACATGAATTTCCTTGGTTTTCTCTTCCCCACTTCAAAGTGCTGGATTTGTCTGACTTCACACCCTCTCCCCTCATTTCTGTCTCCGAGAGTGTAGATGCCTTCCTTGTTGCCAGACTCACCTCTCCTGCTGAACTCTCCACCCAGCTTTCCCCCCTCCTCGTCAGGGGCCTCCCTGGATGGGTTTTCTCTGGGCCCTTGCGTTCTCGGTGTCTCCCCTTTGCTTTCCAGCATGTTCTCCTCTCCTCTGTCTGAGCCGCCTGCCTTCACCCCGGGGCCCCCTCAGGCTGCCGCTCCCGTTGTCTGTCTTCCTCCCAAAGCACCACAGACACACTTAGATTGTGGGTGTGGTTTCCTGCCTCGGGTCTTACCCAGCCCAGTGCATTCAGTGTGCTGCAGCTAGTGTGCTCAGAACCTGCACTTCTGACCTTGTCTTTCCATGCCTAGAATACGTCAATGCTTGCTTTAAAACATTTTTTTATTTGCCTTCGTTTTTCTTGTAACAGCTTTAATGAGATCTAATTCATACAGCATACAGTTCATCCATTTAAAGTGTACAATTCAGTGCTTTTTAGTATATTCAGAGTTGTGCAACCATCACCACAGTTAATTTTAGAACATTTTCATCACCCCAAAAAGAAGCCCTGTGCCCCTTAGTCATCACCCCCCAATTCCTCCATTCCCCCAGCCCCTGGCAGCCACTTAATCTACTTTCCGTCTCTATGGATTTGCCTATTCTGGACGTTTCATATAAACGGAATTATACGCCATGTAATCTTTTGTGACCAGCATAGTGTTTTCAAGGGTCATCCATGTCGTAGCACAGTGACTCCTGTCTGTTCTGTGTTTTAAACTCCCAAGCCTTTATAAGTCCTGCATGCCCTGATGCCTCTGTACCTCTCCAGTCTGATTTCTCACTGCTCACTACTTTGTGCTTTTGCTTCAGCTGAACTAAACTTACTCAGTGTGCCACGGTGCTCCCTGCCTGAGACACCCTCCCTGTCCCCTTCGCTTTGCCTGCTGACTCACGTCCTTCAGGTCACCTTCATTCCTTGAGTCAATGCTGTGTCCTTTGGGAAGCTTGTTCTGATCCTCTGTGCCTTCTTGTGTGCTGCCAGAGCCCACTGTACTTCCCTGATCGCAGCGTTCATAGACAGGACTGGAACTGCCATTGACTTGTCTGTGTCCACCTCTGGACCGTAGCTCTGTGGAGCAGCGTCAGCATCCACCCCAGTGCCAGATGCTAGGCCTGCTCAGAGTGGGTGGGTGCTCACTGAGTCCGTCCTCACCCCTGGACCTCCTTGAAAGAGAAATTGAGTCTGGCCTTCTTGTCTTTGTTGTGATCTGAGATCTGCCCTCACCACTTCCTGAACTCTCTCGAAGGTCGCCAGCCACTTTATGGTTTGTCTTATTTTCCCTCAGTCTTGCCGCAGCATTTGCCACTGTTAAATACCTTCGTGAAATTCTCTCCTCCTGTCTTGCCTGTGATACAGCACAGTCCTGCTTATGTAATGCTCTCCTCTGGTTCCTTGTCCTCCAGGCCCTTAAAGATGGGTTTTCCCCCAGTTCTGCATCAGCCTTTTCTCTCTGCTCTGTCCTCTGCTCCTCCAGCTTCACCTGTCACCTGCGTGCAGATAAATGATTCCCAGTCTGTCTGTGTCACCAGGACCCTCTCCTGAGTCTCACATGTGTTTCCAACAGTGTGGTGACATCCTCACCTGATTACACTTCCAGAGCCTTAAACGCACCTGTCCAGAAGTTGGCTTACTGTGGGTTACCATGGTTACTGTGGGTCACGTGCTAGTTTGAGCACTAAGTACGCTAAGTACCTTCCACCTGTTGACTCTGACTAGCTCTTACCCCATCTTCCCACCTCATCGCCCTCCCCACTTAGTGCTTTCCTTCAGTCCTGTTTGTAAACACGTTGGAGACCTACTGCTGTCAGATAATTTTTCTAAAGCACAGTTCTAGCCATTTTTTCCTCAGCTCAAAACGCTTGGGGCTTCCCTTTGCCTGCTAAATTGAGTAGAGGTTCCTCAGCAGGCACCCCAGACCCTGTCGAAAGGGCTTCGGCTGCCTTTTCGACCTTTCCTCTTTCCTTCCTAGTATTCAGGCCAAATCTGCCTGTCACTCTTCGTGCACACTCTAACCTGTGCTGCACAGCACAGCAGCCATTGGCCACCTGCAGCTGTTTAAACTTAAATTAGCTAAAATTAAGGAAAATGTAAAATTCACTTGCTCAGTCACACCAGCCACATTTCAAGTGCTCAGTAAGCACATGTGGCTTGTGGCTACCTGCTGGACTGCACAGATGAAGAACCTTTCCATCATTGCTGGACGTTCTTGTGGGCAGTGCTGCTTTGTAACTGTTTCTGTTCTTTCTGGCTAAACCGTCCCCCATCTCTTCCCCTCCTCGCCATCTCTACCTGTGAGAACTTTCTCCCCCTATGAGGGCTGCGTACCTGATTCCACCTCTTCCACACAACCTTCCTGATCATTCCTTTCTTAGTGACATGTCCCCCTCCCTTTAGAGCCTTGGTAGCATTTTATCTGTTTTTTTCTTTATGAAACCTACCCATTTTTTCCTTGTATCATAGCCACTCAGGTCCTTATCTCATTTCCAGTACTGAATCGGAAGACTTTTTGAGGTAAAGACTACGTTAATGATCTTATCCTGTGCACAGGACAGTGGGAGTTCAATAAACAGTTGTTGAACACCTGGGAAAGAGAAGGCTTCTTCTTTTGTTCCTGTGGTCAGCAGGCACAGTGAGCATCTCGCCATGCTCCTCTTCTTTCCTTCCTCCGTAATCACACAGGCCTCTTCTGCGGGGTCAGGCAAGCAGTGCAGCTCGTACTTCATCCTGCCCATGCAAGTGGCCACGGGTGGCACATTCCATCTGAGATCGCGGACCTCGGGGCCAAGGAGAGTGACTGGCTGCGGAACACAGACAGGGTCCTCTGGCCAGGGCTGTGGGTCAGCACGTAGGAGGTGGAATTGCAGGGAGGGAATAATAGCTGGAGAACTGAGGGGCAGGCAGGGTACAAACTACAGACCTCGGAGAAGTGACCCCAGAAGAAATGACTGGAATGACAAAGGCTAACCTAGTCAGGGGAGTGGCGAGGCTCAGATTTAAACTCTTTACAGGATGGGGAAATATCTGTTCACAGTTAGATCCTGGAGGAACTTTCTGGGTGGTTTGTCACTCATGGCTGTGTGCATTGTGGATTTTCACTTAGCCCAAAGTCACCTGCCGTGAAGGAGAGGATCTCACCCAAAACATCCACCGGCACGATTTCCAGACACTGTAGGGACATTCAAATGTTTGCCTCTTTTCTCTGGTTTAGCCGCCCTTGGGAGCTAAGGAGTTGCTGGTTATATGTTCATTGACTGTGGGGGCGGGGGGGTGTCCTGAAGCTAAGAGTGTGTTTGTGCGTGTGCATGTGCACACGTGTTCTGAGTGGGGTGGGAGCATAAGCTGTTAGAATAGGTTCATGAGCTCTTTGTCCTTCCAGGCTTATTTTGCAGAGGGAGAAGCACTTCCATTATCTGAAAAGAGGCCTTCGACAGCTGACAGATGCCTATGAGGTAAACACACTGCCCAGGAACTCTGTCAAATGATCAGCCAGATCTTTCTCCTTTTTTTTCTGCTTGAATGTGAAAGTCTTATGGGGCTGACCTGTGGCAGCTTCACTCCTTGTACAATGTGGCTCTGGCAGGAACCGGGGACACAGGAGCCAGGTCCTGGGAGCTGGGACTCCCACTTCTGAAAGGGCAGAACCGGGTCTCTTCCAGGCTTGCTCTCCCTCAGAGCCAGTGGAGCACCCTAGGTGTGGGGAGCAGGGAGAGAGGCTTGCTTCTACCATTAGAGCACTGCTGAGGGCTTCACGTGTTTTCTTCTAGACACCTCTTGACCTCTAGCTAAAAGGCAGTCAGCTGGTCATCCTTAACCTTTGCTCTGTAAGCTGATCCAGTTTCTATACTGGCCAGAGGATCCGTATATAAATTCCAGAGAGTACTACTGCAGTTTAACACTGTAAAATGCCTGAATTTAGAGTGGATTTTAAATCCTATTCCTCAGAGCCCTCGGGTTCCACAGAGGGGCCTCAGGGGGGGCAGTGGGGGAGGGGAGAGGAGTGTTGGGAATGGGGTTGACTCGCGGGCAGAGGGTGACCGTGACCTGGAGGGCTCCAGTTCTCCTGCCCCACTTTACACAGAGGAGCCCTGCTTTTAATTTGCTTTTGATTTGGGTTTCTACATTTGATTATTCATGGTGGGGATTGGCCAACTCAAACGCCTGTAGACACAAGCAGCTGGCATAAATAAGAGAAGTGGGCTGAGGGGAGACTGAGGCAAACCAGAAGCTTTCATTCGCTTCCTGCCAGTTGCTGCCATCCAGGAATGCAGACCCAGAGTTGCCAGATCTTTTTTTTCCAAGTGAAGCCAGGAATCCACATTTTTATGTGAATCTCCCAGTGCTTAAATGTTGAAACCAATTCCAGTTAAACAAATAAAACACTACAAGGAGCAAGCAGAATACGTACACGGGCTGCATTTGGCCTTGGGCTCAAAGTTTTCAGTCTTTGACTTGAGTCCTGGATGGCTAGGTTCCAGTCAGCCCTGATACAATTAATACCATACCAGCTAATAGTTCATTGGACAGTGTGCTAAAAGCTTACCATGTATTATCTCATTTAATCCTCACAACTACTCCATGAGGTAGGTGAATATTTATTTTTTACAGATAAGAAACAAGCATAGCAAGATTAAGTAATTTGCTTAAAGGCTCATAGATAGTAAGAGGAAGAGCTGGGACTCAAACCCAGGCAGGCCAAATCCACAGCAGTGTCTCCAGTCGCCACACCAACCGCCACCCAGGTGGCAAGGTAGCCATAGCACATTTATGAAGAGGGCAGCTTGGGCCAATGGAAAGAACACTGGATTGGGAGTCCAGAAACCGGGGTCCTTGTCTCAGCTCTGACACGTGCTGTCTTTGTAATCTGGAAAAAGCTCATCTCTCTGGACCTCGTTTATATACTTTTAATCTATAAAACTGGGGCAGTAATACTACCTGCCCGCCTAGCCTTGAATGCTCACTATGTGTTTATGGCTTGATTAGGATCAAGATCTTTCACATGTCATCTTTGCAAGCCTTTCCCAGCCCCCCAGGCAGAATTAATCAGTCTCTTCCATGTGCTCCCTCAAGAATCTAGTTCTGCCCGTTACAGCATTTATCCATTTAGATGTGTATGCATATGTTATGTTCTGCCTTGTTCCAGAAGGACATAAGGTGACCTGTGCTAGTGTGTCTAGTGTCTTCTTCCTCTGCAGGTAACCACACATATTCTATATCCCAAACATCTCAAGAATAGGAACTGAATTTTATTCATTGGCGTGCCCCCAGTATCTAGTACAGTGCTTGGCACAAGTAGATACTTACTAAATATTTCTTGAATCTGTGAATGAATTAATCCAGGAAATCCCTTCTTGAGATTGGCTATCTCCTTGGGTCTATACTGAGAAAATTGCAGTGCTTAACTTCCTGGTGTGTGGGGAGTCCTCAGCTCAGCTTTCCATAGACGCTGGTCAGGGAGGGACCCATTGGGTTCAAGGTAAACTTCTTTGTCCCATTGTCCTTTTCTCACATATGGTCATTTCAGCTCCTGGCTGACACAAAGCAAAGTGTCCTTCCTTCACTGATTGTTCATGGGGTGCCCTCCCCCCTTGCCAGGGCTGCGGGGAGGGAGACAGATGTCGCCTTGTCAGCAGTGTCCTGGAATGATTCTGAATAAGGGGTGTGTTTTCTCCCCTGTGCCTTCTCAGTGTCTGGATGCCAGCCGCCCATGGCTCTGCTATTGGATTCTGCACAGCTTGGAGCTTCTAGATGAACCCATCCCCCAGATGGTGGCGACAGAGTGAGTCTGACTTCGGGGGACCTGGGGTGTTCCCTGAAATTGTATTTTGAGTTTGGGGTTCTTTTTATTTTGTTTCTGTTTTATTTGTTTTGAATGGAACACACAGAGTGCTACAAAGAAACCCTTGCCCTTCTCTTGACCTCCAGTAACTTCCTGAAACTCCTCCACTTTAGAAGCCTATTGTAAGCTTGTGGGTAGAACAAGACTTTGAACTCCCAAGAGTTGAATTCTGGTTTCTTCTATAGCCTTTTCTTTTGGCTTTTGCTCTGGTCTTTGAGAAAAGTCTTTATCATCAACTCTGAGAGACACGATTTTGCCAGAAAGTACAGTATGCATTTGAATAGCTTCTGGGGGAAACGTGCCAACCTGATGAGCAGAAACGGCTTTGCCTTCCATCAACACCTCCACAGAAGTCCCTCACCCCAGTGCCTGGGGACAGTTAGCTCTTGATGGCACTGGATGTGTTACCGTCTCTGCGTGTAGATGCCATCACTCACAATTTTCTTAAACTTCTGAGTTATGATTGGAGACGTAAGCAACTGAGATTCTTCCAAAACTGCTGGTGCGAATGGTGTTCTCCGTGTGGCACCTCACCCACAGAGGCTCATCACAATTTATATTTTAAAGAAGGAGAAACTGATCATCACTCCAGTCTTAGGGATATGTGGGGTGGGAAAGGGCGGCCAGGAATTGGATCTGATGCCCCAGTTCTCACTGAGAGCGAGCGCGTCCGCTCGGCGGCATCTTGAGTTCATCCTCCCCCCGGTGCTCCTGAGGGAGGGGAGACCCCTGAGCCAGGGTTGCCTTCCTGCAGCCCACAGGGGCAGCTGTCCCAGGATGTGAGGAGGCTAGCCCCTGCCCCTCCCTGGTCACAGTGCCCCTGCCGGGGTCACATTGTCAGGTTAGAAGAACAGAACTGCACATTGTCTCATTCATTCTGTCTTAACAATAACTTCTCATTCTTGCCTTCCTGGGCAGGGTGTTTTGTGATGAATGTGGAGAGGGAAGATAATGAAGAATTAGGCCATTAACCCTTGTGATGTGTCCGATGCTTTCTGAGAGAGAGACAAAATATACATTGTCTTCCTCAGCACGATGCTGCAGCAAACCTAGTTGCTTTTAGCTCTGGAAGTAGAGTCGGACACAGTTTCTGCAGTAACAGGAATTCAATTGTCAAGATAAAGGCCCATGTGTTCCAGAAATACCAGTTGGGGGTTGCAGGGTGTTTGGGAATTTTCTCCCCCACTCACACACAGTCAGGATGTACACTAGGGGAGTGGGAAAGTCGTGTCTGAGAGAAGAAAGAAGGAATGGGAGGGTCCTATGAGAGGTACGATGTAGACTGACAGAGGTGGGAAGAGTGATAAGGGGGTTGCTGAAGTGGAAGAAATTGGGTTAGCATCGATTTTGAGTGTTTTCTAGGTTGTATACTTGGTGTTTTCTAGGTAAGGCTTTTCTGAGGAAATAAATGTCAGAGCAACTTTTGTGGAAACACCAGATAGGAAGAGAGGACCCCTTTAAAGAACTTTTCACACTGAACTTGGAGGCAACCTAAATATCAACTGATTGTAGGCGATGCTGTAAAGTGTATTCAAAGTTCAAGTGAAGTATGCAGTACATACAATGAAATACTGTGCAGCTGTTTAAAAATTAAGAAGTTAACGGTGTTAACTAGACTTATTGTCGATCATTTCCCCATATGTACAAATATCGAATCTTCATGTTGCACACGTGAAACTCATAATGTTGTATGTCCATTATACCTCAATAAAAATATTTATATATATAAATGTGTATGTTTGTACATAAAAATGTATGTTTATATAGAGACATGTTTGTGATTTACGTGAAAAAAGGTAGTTCAAAAAACTGAACGTTTAAAGATAAAAATATAGATGGTTATATACATGGAAAAAACCCAGAAGGATATGCACACTTGGTAATAGTTATTTCTGGATGGTGGGGTTAAAGGAGATTTTTTCTTTTCTAAGCTTATTTGCGTTTCCTAAAATTTCTACAATGACTCTTTATTGTTTTGGAATTAAAAGAATGTTTTAAAACTAAAAAGCTGATTTGTCCTACTTTCAAGAACTACTTGATAGTTAATGACTGAGAATTTCTGCTTCACACCTGCCTTAAAAGCTTTACCTGTGGTTCTTCTGAGCATTGATTTTGCAAACTTTTAAAGAATTTCTTAAACTTTCCAATAATGTATTTTCTTTTGTGCCTAGCAGGCAGTTAATTGTGGGTGCAGATAATATTTATTATGAACAGAGCCTAGTAGCTCTGATCTCTAAGGAGATAAACTATTTTTAGTAAGACAGAAAAATCTTTGTTTTTTTTTTAAAGATTTTATTTTTTTCCTTTTTCTCCCCAAAGCCCTCCGGTACATAGTTGTATATTCTTCATTGTGGGTCCTTCTAGTTGTGGCATGTGGGACGCTGCCTCAGCGTGGTTTGATGAGCAGTGCCATGTCCGCACCCAGGATTCAAACCAACGAAACACTGGGCCGCCTGCAGTAGAGCGCGCGAACTTAACCACTCGGCCACAGGGCCAGCCCCTAAGACAGAAAAATTTAATCACTTCCATTAAAATATAGGGACTTTTTTTTTAAGACTACTTAAAATAGGACATTGCCTTTTAATTTATTTTGCACAGGGAAAATAAATGCTTTAACAATTTGATCAATTTTCTTCTTCTTTATGCAAATATTAAGGTGATCCGGAGGCAGAGTTTAACTCTGGGGTTTTATTTTTCTGCCCTTTCTTTCCCCACTCCTTCACTTAGTGCGGTGTGTACACACACACACACACACACGCTCATGCGCGCACGAGCATCCTATTTGGTTCACCTTTGTGCTTCTATTTGTTTAGGGGACAATATCACAAGCGGAGTTCCCTCTAGTGGACAAAATCATTTTTGTCAGCTTCTGTGACTGCTGGTGTGAGACCTTTCAAGAATAATATATTCCTAAGTAGGAATTTAGCTTGCTTCTCTTTAGAGATTGTATCCTCAAGTTTATATATGTGTTTATCTAAAACAAATTAACATTTTGGAACTAGACTCAGTACATTTGCTCTGTCAATGATTTTAGCACTGACCCTTTAATGAGAGTTCCATGCTTTGAGATTAAAAGCTACTTGACTGAAACAGAGGTGTGAAGTGAAAGTCACGGGGAGACCAGCGTATTGTTAAATTAGGTTTTTACCTTCTGTAAAAATTGTCTTTAACTTAAAAATTGTTTTAGGACTTTTCCCAAAGATTAAATTTGAGTTTTCTTGTGTCAATGTTTTATTCTTTCTCTTTTGCAAGGTTATCAGTAGTTTGTCCCCTGAATAGCTCCTTAAATATTTTTCCTTTTAGTTTTTGGATTTAAATATAATTTGTCTGTTCCCTTACCTTTCACTGAGGATCCCTTATCTAGTCACTTGTCTTCTGGGCATTTTTTAGCCAGGTGCTGCTGGCGTCTAGTGGATGGAGGTCAGGGGTGCTGCTAATATCCTCCACAGGACAGTCCCCAAAACAAGGAATTATCCAGCCCCAAATGTCAATAGTGCCATGGTGGAGAAACCCTGCTCTAGAATAACCGGCTTTAGACTTGACTGTGCTTCCAAAGCAGCAGCGTCCGGAGGACTCCTGGCCCTGATGAAGAGCCAAACAAGCTGTCGCTCTCCACAGACGGCCTGGGCCTCCTGGAATCAGCAAGGGAGCCTGCCCATTGCTGTCCGCTGATGGGAGGGGCTGCTCCCTCTCGGGTGCTAGCCTGACATCGGCTGCTTCAGCTCGCCTTCACGTCCACTCCTCACCCTTCTGCTCAGGCATGGCTACTGTGTTTCCAAAGCTGTGGTCTTTGTAACTTATTCTAGGCCTTAAGTCTGTCTGTGGTAACCTATTCTGGTCCTGAAGTTTTTCTTAAATCTAACCTAATTCTTCTTGCTGCCAATTGGCTTCAATTTTTGTTTATTTACCAGAAAGGTTGTATAATCCCCCTTTGTATACTCGAGGTATTTTGCTGGGTAGCTTCCTCACCGTAGTTGCCAGTAGTAGTAAGCTTTTTAATAATTTTTATATTTAGCCACCTTTGTAGCTTGACTCTGAGCTTCCTTCAAGTTGGAAAATGGAGGCTTGAGCCAGATACCATTCTGACTGACACTCTTCATGATGCTGTCAACAAGTGTTTTTGTTATCGTTGTTCACAACTCATGGGCCCTACCTGCTGGTCCTTTTTCTCCTATATTCCAGTCCTTTCCGTCTTATGTGCTTTCCTCACCACCGCTCCTGCCATCCCTAAGCGTAACACCTGCTATTGTACCTGTTTCATTTGTTTTATTCGTATTGGCTTCTGAGTCGGTTTGTTATTCTGGGCTTTCTTTCTCATCTTGGAGGTGTGTCCCTGCCTGTTTTATAATATTTCTTAGTCGCTGTGCTCTTGAGTCCTTCCTCTGAGTTGGTGGCAGTGACGTTCAGAATCAACAACCTTAGGTCGGTCCTCAGCCAACACCTCAAAGTCCGAGTAAACTCTGTACAAGGCTGACAGTAATCATTGGTCCTCTGGCTTTGAACTTGGTCCTCTTACAAGTTTTACATACTTTTTAGTGGTTGAATTCCGATAATGGAAATGTTCTGTGTTTCGTGGTAGCTGCTAGCGATGTGGAGCGAGTGAGCAGTTGCAGTGTGGCTTGTGTGACTGAGGAGCTAATAAAATAGAATTTAATTAATTTACATTTAAAATTTAAAGAGCCTCATGTGGCTGGTGGTTATTTACTGGACAGTACAGATCTATCGCATTGCTACCCAAAATGTGGTCCCCAGACCAGTGACATTAGCATCACCTGGGACCTTGCTAGAAATGCAGACTCTTGGGCCCATCTAGCCCTGCTGGATCAGATCCGCACTTTACAGCATCCCTAGGTGATCTCTGTGCACACTCCAGTTTGAGAAGCACTGATACTTGGCTGTACATTGAAGTCACATGGGGAGTTTTAAAAACTATTGCCACCTGGGTCCCACCCTCAGTGATTCTGATTTAATTGGTATTAGGCGTGGCCTCAGTGTTGGAATTAAAAAAACCAAAATCCCCCAAATGATTCTAATTGTGCAGCAAAAATTTGTGGTACTCAGACTGTGTGTGTGTATATCCAAATCACCTGAGAATTTGGTGAAAAAATAGGCCCAGCTCTTTCCTGCTGCAGCAAGCCTGGGTCTCTATTCTTTATCAGCTCTCCAGTGATTCTGATACACACATTCTGGGTTTGAAACCCCTGATCTAGGAGGTAGTTTCCCCCTTTGCTGGTAATTGTCACGTAAGCTAGAGTGAAATGCCTTGCTGACTTGCAGGAAAACTGATCTACTGGGTCATTTAGTCATATGACTAAATGAATGATTTATGAATACATCTTTTTCACCAAGTGTGTCACTCTTGGTGTTTGCACAATGTTTCCTGCGTGTGATTTTTTTTATTAGTTGGGGAGTTTGTGGTCTCTAAGATAAGTTTTTCTCCCCCCTCTGGTAGGTAGAAGTATCATTCACATTTTAGTTTTCACAATTGTGAAGAATTCTGTTGATGACAGCTGGTGGTGTCATGGTCAATTTGCCAGGTCCTTAGGGTGCAAGTTGGAAAGCCTCTGGAGCAGAATGTTCTGTAATACAGAGTGTCTGAGAGTCAAGAGAAGCCCAGCCCGGGGCCCCAGCATAGCTCCACAGACAGATGTGGTGTCAGCAAGGGAGGTTGGCGTGGAGGGATGTCTAAAGGTATCTGGGACATGCAGATCTCCAGCTCAGGCCAGACTTTAGGCTACAGGAGTGGTGCATGGCCGCGATTCTATGTTGGGAGTCAGGAAAGGGGATGCATAACTAGGTGGCGCTCTTTTCTTTAATGTGCTGTTAAGTTTTCTGTCAGCTAAAACCTTTTGTTTTTGTGATATAGAAAACTTTTTGTATGCTAGTGCAGCCAGCCTGTGTTAGGACATGAATTTATTAGCTGTGTATTTCTGGGAAATGTGATAAGAATTGATGAAGTTCTGGGAAATATGTTAGAAACAAACTCATTTTCTCAATGAAAATTAACTGCTATTAAGAACGTGCCACAAAACTGTCTCTCTTCTCTGATTATCAACTTCAGTTTCAATCCTTGTGTTTCCTGCAGTGAATTTTAGGTGCAAATAGAAGTGAATGTGTATTGCTTTTAACCTGTGATGATTTCAGGACTCCAATAGCAAGTCAGCAGCATTTTCTAGCACTGGCCCTGCCCAGATAATGGAAGATCTGAAATCAAAAGTAATCAAATGTGTCGTGGGGAAGCAGTAAGGAACCTGTGTCTTAGTGGAGATTGACTAGACTCTGTGTGGTCTCTGGTAGCAGTAGATAAGAAAGGATGAGACAAAAGAGCCCAGGAAGAGGCGGCTGTGTGAGCACTGGAAGGACACAGATTTGCAGTTTCTTCTCTTAAGTGGAGGCTTGTCCTCAGAGGAAGCCTGTGATTCTGGCTGAGTCACAGGGAAGCAGCCTGATAATCAGGACTTTCCTGGGCACCCCTTTCTGGTGAACTTCAGAGGACCTTGGACAAATAGGGGCTCTCTTGGTTTCACCTGAAGCAACAGTGGAACTTCCAGGCAAACTGATACCATGCTTGGATGCAAACCCTCTGTAAACAGTTTCCCTCCGTGAGAGAACTGGAGCCGTCAGTGGATTAGCCTGGAAACTCCGAGAACCCACAGACTGGGATGCATTCTTGTGCCCTGAGGCAGCAGTACTGAAGTTTGCCACAACTGAGGCTGGCGTGTTAGAAGCCGGCCTCTCTTTTATTCTCCTAAGCAGGGAGGCAGACTCTGTTAAAAGCTTGTACTGGTCGGTTGTAGGAATAAAAATCAGCAGCGCATGGGGCATAGGTGGCAATGGGAGTGAGACGCCATCTCTCTGAATGTTCTTGGCGGGCCTCGCTGATAGATGTAGACCAGGGTGATTAGTGTGGAAAGAAGCAATTGGGCCCCACCAACATTTTAGGCAGAATTTTGGGAGGTGCCCCAAAGGCAGGGAGAAGGAGGCCAGTACCACAGACCCAAGGTGGCAAACTGAGTGAAAAGTATGGGAAAGATTTGGTTAAGAAGCCTGGGACTCACCCTCAATTCTATGAAAGGCTGTTTGTTTCTGCCTGGCCTTATGTTCCTTCCTTCACAACTAGGCAGTTGCTTCAGTGTAATACCCATGATAGCAGGGTAGTGAGGCCCTTTGCAGGGGTTAATTATATTCAATGTGCATTCACTAGGTGAGAGGAGAGGTTTTTTCCCTTTGGAGGGAGAGGGGAACGTTGGAAAGGCATTCACTCTGGTGGAATGTGGTGTTTTGGAATTCATGCTGTCTGACTTTGTTTTTCCACTTGGCTGTGTACCTAGTGTGTGTCAGTTCCTGGAGCTGTGTCAAAGCCCAGATGGCGGCTTTGGAGGGGGCCCTGGCCAGTACCCACACCTCGCACCCACGTATGCAGCAGTCAACGCACTGTGCATCATTGGCACTGAGGAGGCCTATGACGTCATCAACAGGTACCGACAAAGCCAGCAGTGACGGGAGCCTGGAAGGCCCCCCGCCTGCTGACACTACACTGACTATTGCCATCTCCCGTTCGTTTCTCAGAGAGAAGCTGCTTGAGTACTTGTACTCGCTGAAGCAACCCGATGGCTCTTTTCTCATGCACGTTGGAGGTGAGGTGGACGTGAGGTGAGTGGGCTTTTTCTCAGGCTGCATCAGTAGATTCTAGAGCTTATCTGCCATTAGGGATGCCAAACCCAAGGAACCTGGGGAGGCTGCTGCTCCGTCTCACAGAATGACACGCAGCGACATGTCAGTGATGCAGTGTCATCATCATCGCAGATATGAGACAGATGTCCTCAGGTGTCATTATCACTTGACTTATATAAATGTCAAAATATAAGTAAGACAGAGACAAAATCAAATGCTTTTGTTTTAAGAATTAAAAATACATTTGTTTGGTATAAGATGATATACCATAGTGTATAATAACTGTGGTGCAATATAATCTTTCATCTGTCTGGGAGAGGAAGGGAGAAGAAAGCCCCGTAGGGTCTTAGTAGATATTTTCTGAATGTATCTGATGAAATCGTGAGAATGTTTAACACCTGCATGAGAATTGCTTTGGGAGGTGCAGAAACCCTTATGGGCCGGCGGGCTGCAGTGAAATAGAGTCGTATTAACTGATTGGAACCAGTTGTCTCAGAATTATTGTTTTACTCAAGAATTGTCTGGTGTGCCTGGCAGGTAGGTACCCACCTGGGAGGAGATTGCTTGTGAACATGGAGGGAATTCACTGAAGAAGTCATTTCTCAAAGGCAGCGTATCATTGAGATTTTATACCAACTTCTCAGTATGTAGTCCGAGAAATGCATTTTTATATGAGGTTTCTATAGCAAAGCCATCTTACTGCCTATTTGTCAATGTGTGTGCTTCTACACAAGCTGATTAATATTCTGGCTTAATCATTGGTTTGAAAGTATGAGGGAGAAAAAAACGTGAAAGTTGTGAAGCTTGAAACACACTGCAGATAAAGAATTCCCAGGCTGCAGAGGCCTGTAGTGAAGGATTTCCTTCTATCTGTAACCTGTCTGTCCAAACCAAAAAATTAGGCTAGGGATCTACCAGAAAAACTGTTTCTCTACTCACAACATTTCTGATACCAAATGTGTGTTTTTCCCCTCATCTTAAACAATTCTGACACTACTCAGAGTTAGCTCAGACCCCACAGGTTAACAGCTCAGTCCCACAAGAGTGCCCTTCACTTCAGACATCAATCACAAGTAGCAGGTTCCCAGGTGACCCACACTTCTGTCTGACTTGGTTACAAATTGGGGGTTCCCATGCGCCCTGCCGCAGGTTCAGTAATTTGCTAGAACGGCTCGCAGAGCTCAGGGAAACACTTTACTTACTCTTATCGGTTTGTTATAAAGGGTACAAAGCCAGATGAAGAGGTATATGAGGCGAGGCCTGAAGGATCAGGAGCACAGGAATTCTCTCCCCGTGAAGCTGGGGTGTGCCCCTTCCCGGCAGGCGCATGGACACGTTCACCAGCCCAGAAGCTCCCTGAACTTAGGGTCTTTATGGAGGTCCCCTTATGTAGGCATAGTTGATGAAATCACTAGCCACTGGTGATTATCTCAGTCTCCAGCCCCTCTCTGGGGAGGGGGCTGAAAGCTCCAACCCTCTAATCACATGGCTGGTTCCTCTGGATCCTCCAGGAGCCACCTCAGTGGCATAAACTCAGGTATAGTTGAATGGGACTTGTTAGAAATAACGAAAGACTCTCCTATCACTTCTGTCACACAGGAAATTCCAAGGGTTTTAGGAGCTCTGTGCCAGGAACTGGGGAGAAGACCACATATATATTTGTATTATATTACAATATCTCAGTGTCTGTTGTTAAAAGATAAACTGAGACATATTAAAAATTTGAAGTTTATTTGAGCAAAAACCAATTTGAATTGGGTAGCATCCAATCCAGCAGACAGAAAAGAGCTCCGAGGAGCTCTGCAAATGAGGGACTTTTATTGGCAGAAGGGAGTAGTGACAGGGAAGTTCTACTGGGCCAAAAAAGTGGGTTGGTTGTTGCAAGGTTACTGTCCCTTAGGGGACTGCAGGGGTCTGTCAGGTGGATGACCTCACTAGTGCTGATCAGGCTGTTCCTGATCCACTGGTTTAAGATTCCATTTCTGGGAGAGCCGAAACTGTGATTAAGTCTGGGTTTGGTGATGTGAAGCTTAGCCTAGGCGACTCCATTTTGAGCCCATTGCCTTGTTTTTAACACTGTAAATTCCAGCGAAGCCATATAACCATTGAGGAAAGGCACTATTGTGTTGACGCTTCCTAAGGAAAAAGATAAAAGATTTCTTTTCCCTTCATCATCACTACATTTTCATTCCTCTTCTATAGATATTCCAACCAAATACACGCAGTCTTGAAATTTAGCTTTCTAAAACTTCCTGAGATTATTAGGCAAAAGCAAACAAACCCTAGCAAGATCATTTTGGAGTTTTATCGCATATCTGGGTGACAGACAGTAGACTGTCTTCAAGGAGGGAGAAGGTCAGTGTCGCTCAAGTGTAGATGGCCTGGGGGGCAGTGGGAGACATGGAGCTGGAAGGACAGGCTGGGAACAGACTGAGGAGCCCTGAAGTCTCCTTAAGAAATCTGGAGTTTGTCTTAAGGGCGGTAGGAAGCCACTGACAAGTTTTAAGTAGGGAGCGACATGATCTGATTTGTTTTTATTAGAAGTTCTCCAGTTGCAGTGAATAGATTGTAGTGTTTTAGTAAAAGTCCTCTGGTTCCAGGGCTGGAGGGAGGAAGAGTGGACAGGAGATTAACCCAGGTCCTGGTGACAGCAGCAAGGCTGGAGAGTAGTGGGCAGATCTGAGAGAGGTGATGATTGGATGGAGGGAGAGAGGAAGAAACGGCCTCAGTGTGAGATCTAGGACGAGTGGCTTCTGGTGTCACGTCTCAGTTCTTCCCTTTACGAGAGGCAAGCTACGTTGTTGGCTGCCTCCATACCTCAGAGGTTACATTAGGATTCAAGGGCAGATACTTTTGAACCCCTTTGAGAGGCTCAAGACCTAAAGGAAATTAGATCAGACCTTCGAATTAGTGATAACATTAGGCACATGGGACTCTTTCAGGCTTCCAGCACCTGCTGGTATAACACAACCTGTGCTGTGCTTTTGGGCAGAGTGAGCAGGCTGATAAAAATGCTGGTGGGATAACAGTGCTTGCAGCTTCTGCAGAGGTTTCTCTGGAATACGTCAGGAGGCTTGGCTTAGTATTCTGTCTGTACTGAATGATATGGAAAGTACACCTTTCTCTTCCTTTCCTATTATATTCCTTAGGGGCAGTTAGAAAAAGGATTGGTCAGCAGAATTAGAACAAACAGCTTTTGTCTTCAACATAAAATGGAGCCGAGATGCTGGGTATTTGAAAAGACCATAGAAAGGAAGAAAAGACAGTTTGTAGGTGTGTTCCATAATGGAGGGAGAAGCTGAAATAAAATGTCCTGAGAGGAATTAGGGCTGGGAGGATGGAATGCAAGAATTACTCCAAATCAAGTAGGATAACATTAAAAAAAATAGACGTGCTCTTTCCTCTCCATTTAAAAGTGTGTGTGTGTGTCTGTACTAGGAGGTGCTTGAAATCAAAGCGCTTCTCTCCCTCTAGAGGCCTAAGGAATGTATCTGAGTGGGCTCAGCTATTCCTGTCTCTCTTGTCTGGTCTAAGCAGCCATTAGGGTTTGGTGGCCTACTTTGGAGTGGGTCTCTTGGAGAAAAAATATAGTTAACCTTTAATGTATCCATGCCATAAACAGGTAGAAATCCTGGATCTAAAATAGCACTGACATCTGAATGAATGAACATATCAGAAATACCTGAATGACACCAGGGACTTTTGGGAGCCATTGTAGGTCTTTGAAAGAAGACCTAAATTCACTTTTGACTTGAATTGACGTGGCTGTTATTTCCTCTGATGTAGATTTGACCATGTGCAGGCAGGGAGAATAGAATGTCATGTTCTTTCACTGAAGCCATGCTGTGAGCAACTCTATCCAAACAGAATGTCAAACCTCTCAGTTGGCGACCAAGGAGGACTGACTATGTGCCAAGAGTGAGGCCGGGAGGTGGTTACAGCTCACTAGGCAAAGAGAGCAATCCGCTCAGAAGTCCAGTGAGCCTTATTGAGGCTCTTCCTTGAAGCTTAACACTTTTCCCTCTCTTTCTGTCCCTCCAGAAGTGCATACTGTGCCGCCTCGGTAGCTTCTCTGACCAATATCATCACGCCAGACCTCTTTGAGGGCACTGCTGAATGGATAGCAAGGTGAGAGAAGCTGGGCTTTGTCCTGGCCTTGTAGATAGCAGGCGGTTAAGACTTCTGAAAAATAGCGAAAATGGAAAAGGACACAAAGAGAAGATAAAATTAGAAGAGATATATTAGGGTTGTAGATTGTGCACTTCAAAAATAAAAATTTTCTTTTTTCCAAACTTTCTTTAATGTTTATTGTAGTTTAGATTGACAAGGATCAAAAATTTGGGTGAACAGTATTGGTGGGATTTACCCATCGTGGAGAGCAGTTTGGTGACTCAAAGTTGCCCTTGCTGACGACCCAATAATTCCACTCCTCCAGAAACTCTCACACACTTGTATGAAAGAGACAAGCACAGCACTTGTTTATAAGAGCAAAAAGCTGGGAAACAGGTTAAATGTTCATAAGCACCAGATGGATAAGTAAGTTGTGGCTTAGTCACGTTGGTGTATAACATAGCAGTTAAAATGAATGAATCAGAGCTCCATGTATCAATATGGGTAAATCTCAAAAACACTATGGAGGGGGCTGGCCTGGTGGTGTATTGGTTGAGTTCGGTGCACATGCTTTGGAGGCCCAGAGTTCACGGGTTTGGAGCCTGGGCGCAGACTTACACCACTCATCAAGCCATGCTGTGGCAGCAACTCACATACAAATAGAGGAAGATTGGCACAGATGTTAGCTCAGGGTCACTCTTCCTCACCAAAAAAAGCAAAAAACAAAAAACAAATTAAATGTTGAGTAAAAAAAAAAAAACAAGTTAAAGAAAACATGCAGATCAGCACATTTACTTAAAATTTGAAAACATGCAAAACAATTCTATGTTGTTTATGGGAAGAATCACATGTAGTAATATAAAAACATACATGGGAAGGATAAACACCGAATTCAAGACCATGGTTACTTCTGGGGAGAGAGCAAAGGAAATGAGATCAGGAGAGGTCTCCACATGTACGCAGGAGACTCCAGCTGTGTCTGTAATTGTTCATTTCTGTAAAATGAAAAAAAAGACCTGAAGTGTATATGGTTAAATCAAAGCTAGGTGTCAGATACGTGCGTTTCTATATATTATTTCCTCTACTTTCCTGGATGCTTCAAATATTTCATAATTTAAAAAAAAGAAAACAAAAGGTATAGCAGATATGTATGTACTGTTATGAAATAATATCCAAGCCGTTTTGTTCTATTTTGTTTTTTGCATTTTTATTTGTGTCAAAGTAGTACTTACTACTATGAAAATATAAGTTACAGCCAAACCAGATAATGTACCATGATCTTATTTACTTTTTTGTATAACTTTTATTTTCCTGGATTTAATTATTACCTCTTTTTTTAAATGTATGTAAATTCATGAATTCATTCCCAGATTTTCTACCAGAGCCAGAAAGTTACTCTCAATACACTCAAACGCTTCAGGGAATATATCAGTTCTCGTGTGTGTGTGTGTGCGTGCGTGTGTGCATGTGTGTGGGTTGTGCCTTATCCCTCCTGGTGGCTTCTGCCCTCCTGCTTCAGTCTGGACAGATTGCTCTCAGGTTGCTGCACAGCAAGCATCCAGAACCTTCTTCTCCGCATGAAATTCACTTCACTTCTCTCCTTTGTTGAAGTCCCTGTCCTGCTTTTTCTTGGTTTACTTACTCATTTTAATGAAACACATACTCCAATAGATCCCAAAAAAGAGGACTTGGGAAATACATTTTTAAGATTTTGCATGTATCTTTATTCTAGTCTCACACTTGATTGATAGTTTATTTGGTTAGACGTTTCTAAATTGTAAACTGTGTAAATTGTATTCTTTCAGAATTTTTAAGAATTGCTCCATTATCTTCTGGCTTCCAGTGTCATTGTTAAAAAGGCTGATAATAAGAATAACCAGCATTTACTGAGGACTTGGTGTGTGATGCTCAGTAGTAAGGTAGCTGTAGTTTAGAGACTGAGAGTATGGGCTTTTGAGCTAGACTGCCTGAGTTTGGTTCTTTTTATACTTTCTGTTTCTCATTTGAGATTTCCCATCTTTTTATTCATCACAAGTGTATTTTTCTTCACTGAGGTAAACGTATAGTTATAATATCTGCTTTAAAATTCTTGTCTGGTAATTTCAGCATCTAGCTATCTTAGAATTGGCATGTCACATTTTCCTGATTCTGCATATGTCAAGTAATTTTTGGATTGTACCCTGGACATTGTGCTGTTAACGTTGCACACACTGGATTCTGTTAGGTTGCCCTGAAGAGTGTTGATGTTTTTGTTTCAGCAGGCAGGCGACTTGGTTAGACTCAAACTGCAGAGCATCACACCTGCGCTGTGCGCTGGCTCAGCTCTTGCATTAGTTCTTGGTCAGAAGCTGCTTTCAGTTTGCCCAATGCCTGTGTGATTCAGGGGTTGGGTAGAAAGGAGCAAAGTTTAAACACAGAACTTGGGGTTTTCCTTCTCTGGCCCTCCTCTTTCTGGATTCCTCAATTTCTGTCAGCCTGGTTCTTCTTGCCAGAGAGATGTGGGCTTTCCATTAGTTTCACCTGCCCTTCCCTGACCGCTGACCTGCCGCTGCCGCCACTGGGTGTCTCTAGGCATCCTCAGGGCAAACGGTGAAGGGAAATACCGCTGCGGGAGGGGAGGGACTGCCTGCCTGCTGTCGTCTGCTCCAACTTTCAAATCTGCCTGCCTTTTTTAGTCTGCTGAGCCCTCGGGCAGTTGTGTCTGTGTGTTTTGTCCAGAGTGGATGGCCATTATTTACAGGAGCATCGGTTTTTAGGCACTTAGTAGATGTGGACCTCTGACTGCCTGGGTTTGAATTCCAGTTTTATCGTTTATTAGCTTTATGCCTTGGACAAGTTATTGGACTTCTCCATGTCATAGTTTCCTTACATGTCAAATGGGGGGATATTGAATTTGATATTAAGCTGGAATACAGAGAAGTTAAGTGACCACAACCTGTTATGGTGACCATTGTTCTTTCCTGCCTCCCACTGCCATTGTGGTTCCGGGTCTGTTGCATGTTTTTGTCTTCTCTTTCTCTCTGTCCCACTCCATCCCCCCCCGCCCAGAAGCTTTTAGAATCTTTATTCTTGCTGTTTGGAAATTTCCTGCTGGTGAAGCGTGGTATGGATTGTTTTCCATTCATTATGCTGGGCACTCAGCAGACATCTTCATCTGGAACTTCATACACTGCAGTTCCAGGAAACTTTATTATGCTATTTATCGGATGATTTCTTCCCCTCCGTTTTCTATGTTTGTTCTTTTTGTAACATCCTATAAGTAGGGTTGGTCTTCTAATTTTTCAGACTTTTTTGCCCATTTCCCACCTTTTAAATCTTTCATATTGTACTTCCCAAGAGACTACTTTACCTTTATCTTCTAATCCTTATGTTGAGTTTTTTTCCTGCAATTCTATTTTAAATTTCTTAGAGCTTACTTTATCCTTATTTATAGAAAAGAATACTTCTTTTTTTAATATACTCTCCTGTTCTTGTTTCAGGAATATTTTATCCTTGCAATGTTCTTATTTCATATACTATTTTATCTAGAGAGATAACTTTAAAAAGTTTACTTCTGCTCCCTACATTATTTCCTCCAATTTACTTTTGTTTGTTTGTTTTGGTCTCTCTTTCATATTAGAGACTTTGCTCAAATGTCTGGAGTTCATATTTGGGAGTCAAGTGTGAAAAGCCGATGGGAGCTGTGTGAGCCGGGATGGGCTAGGACACAGCCATTCGCCAGGGATTCTCATATGTCAATATCTGGAGGGTTTTGTTTTGGGCTTATTAGTTTCCCTAGAGGAGAATCTTCTCGATTCCTGGTGGGGCATGAAGTTGGCAGCCAGCTTTGTGAAATACTAGTAGGGAAAGGGGTTGAAGGGTGTGTTCAGATTGTAGACTCTCATTTAACCCCCCTGCTAGGCACAGCCCCCTCCTGTTCTCAGCTTTCCTGGATATATGAGAATTCAGATCCTCTTGATTAAACCCCTGAAACCTCTCATCTTCTGCTGGGTTCAGTACATCTGCAGGGTCCCTGGAGGTCTAACTGTCTCTTTTTGTGTATGTGTGAGGAAGGTTGGCCCTGAGCTAACATCTATTGCCAATCTTCCTCCTTTTGCTTGAGGAAGATTGTCCCTGAGCTAACATCCGTGCTAGTCTTCCTCTATTTTATGTGGGTTGCCACCACAGCGTGGCTTGACAAGTGGTGCTAGGTCCATGCCCGGAATCCGAACCCTTGAACCCTGGGCCGCTGAAGCGGAGCGCATGAACTTAACCACTACGTCATTAGGCCGGTCCCTGTAACAGATTCTTATAAACATGTGCAACCAGTCAACTGGATTCAAACACATCCCACTTTTAGAGGGCCCTCTGTCTCCAGCCCCTGGGCCTCTCATGGGCGACGCCACCCTGCTTTCTGTGGCCTCCCCCCCTCTCCTGGGCTGGTTTAGGTTTCTTTATTCTATTGAGTCAGTTACTTCTTAGTTCCTTTTCTAGCTTTTGAAATTTTATTTCCTGTCTGTATTCATATCCTCTGGTATTCTCTTTACCCTTGTGGGTTTATCCCTTTTAAAATTCCTTTACTTTCATTTTATTGCGCTCTTGTGTTCAGTCTGTTATGTTTAGCTAAAAGACACTCCCAAAGAATTTGACTGAATTGCTCCTATGCATGTAAAATGCTCCCACGCATGTAAAAACAAAGGGAGGGAAATGGAATAAAAATATGTATGTTGTGCGCATCAGTGTGTGTGTGCGTGTGTAGAGGGAAAGGGAGTAAGACCCAGAAACTGACAGTGGTCACCGCTGGTGAGTGGGGGGAGGAGGCCAGGGTGGGCAGGAGACTTACTTTTCATTGTTTATTTTTTTATAGGGTTTGAATTTTTTTAATTCAAAAAACTTTTCAAGGGGTAGGTTAAGAAAAGTTAAGAAAATGAAAAATTTTACGAGCTTCCTTGCATAATCTCCACTCACCAGACCTTTCACACTTGAGCTATTCTCTGTGCTCCACGTAGCTAAGTGTACCGGAAAGAAAACTTGGAGTGTGTGTGTTGGGTGGCGGGGAGGTTGGGGCTTGGAGGATGCTCAAGAAGCTGTACAGGGAATGGTACCAGTTTTTGACTCTGCTCTGTGATCTCCCTGGCTTGGGGCCTCTCTGAAAAAGCCCTGTGAGTTCTCAAGATGCCAGGCCTCCGGGGAGAGGTGCCTGCAGACGGGAGGTGTCACTGCTTCCTTTCTCTCCCGCCCGGCAGTTCTACCAGTCTTGGATGAAGTGCTCATCCATCTGTGCACTTGCACCATGGCCAGGACTGTGAGGCAGACGCCCCTGTAGAGAGTGTGATGCTGTGTACTTACTTGGAGATAATTGGAAGTAAAGCTCTATGTTGTTACGTGAAAATATACTGAAGAGAAAACTTCTTTATTTCATGGATAAAACATGTTTATTATAGACAAGCAAAAAGAAGAAAATCTAAACCAGTTGTAATCCACCACCAACCACTCCTTGGGTGTATATCTTTCCAGAATTCCAGAAAAATCATACAGGACATTATCAGTTTATAACTTTTCTCTTGTAATGTTTTTGGAACATCTTTAAATATCCTTCCATGGCGTCATTGTAAATGACTGCGCAGCATCCTCTTCTACAGATGTGCCATAATTTGCATAACCAGTCCCTTCCTGCTGAGCTTCAGAGTTTCCAGTATTTCACTGTTATAAATGGGAACACAGTAAACATGCTTAAAATCGGATCTTTGGACACATTCTTACTTATAGGATTAATTCCTAGAAATGACTCTCTATTGCTGGGCCAAAGATTATGCATGTTTTTATGACTAGAAAATACACTCTTAATATATAAGCTAACCCCGAATAATTGTAATAATAATAAATGAGTAATTTGAATACAGTCATGCATTGCTTAACAACAGGGCTATGTTCTGAGAAATGCATCGTTAGGTGATTTCATTGTTGGACAAACATCATAGAGTGCCCTTGCACAAACCTACATGGTATAGCCTACCACACATCTAGGCTCTTGGTACTAATCTTATGGGACCAGCATCGTATATACAGTCCAAAATCTCATTATGTGACACATAACTGTACAGAGGAAATTCTAATAAAAAAAAGGTTTATTGTGAACATTTGTAAAGATATACATGTTCAGTACAGAAACTTTTTGAAAATACAGAAAAATAAAGAAGAGAAATATCAGCAATAGACCAGGACTATAAGATAACCAGAATCAGCAATTATTTTTCAATTTTATTTTAACCTGATGGTTATCATACTATATATATGATTTTACAACTTTTTTCTAAAAAGTAATGATTTGAGGTAGTATGTTTGTTACATAAGTAAACTCTGAGTCCCCCCCCCCTTTTTTTTTTTTTTGAGGAAAAGGCATTTCCCAAAGTTAATTAGCTAGCATTTTCCATTCATAGTTGTGTGATGGTTTAGGCCTTAATCTGAGCAAACTCATTCTTGGCCGTCCACAGTGGTTCTGCGCTTGTGGCCTCAGCCTGGCCACTCTTTGGTTGACACTGAGCCCTCAATCTGCTTTTCTCAATCTCCTCCTAGGTGTCAGAATTGGGAAGGTGGAATTGGCGGGGTGCCTGGGATGGAAGCCCACGGCGGCTACACTTTCTGTGGCCTGGCTGCACTGGTCATCCTCAAGAAGGAACGTTCCTTGAACTTGAAGAGCTTGTTAGTAAGTATCTGTTGATCCATCTTCCTCTCAGGCCCCAGGCCCCTGGTGATGTGGCTCCTCAGACACACAGGCTTCGGGATGGTTTGGCTGTGGGAAGGGCTAGCAGAGTTCCTGCTTTGAGCTCATGAACTGAGGAAGAGCAGCCCTTTTTTTTTTTTTTTTTTTTTGAGGAAGATCAGCTCTGAGCTAACATCTGCTGCCAATCCTCCTCTTTTTGCTGAGGAAGATGAACTGAAAGTCCTGAATGAAGCTTTAGATGTAGCTATTAGAGTGCTCAGCACTGTTCCAAGAAAGTGGAAGGAGTGACCGTCTGCTCTCAGTTTTGGCTCCCTTCTTCCCGCCTTTCCATCTCCCTGCTCTAAACTTTCTACACAATGTGTTAGGCCAACCCCCAGCGTCTTCTTGAGTCCCTCAGACATCTGGTATAAGCCAGAGTACCTTCCTCAGACTTCCAAAAAAAGTGTAACTTCAGTCTCTTAAAATTAGAGGTTATCGTGTCCTAGAAAGAATCTCCTGAGAGAAAAAGTTATGAGAAGAGCTTTGAGGCATTTTGAAGCCATGCTTTTATTACCTGCTGCACCATGTGAACGTTTAATAACTACATTTAAATGAGCTGAGCAGAGCTGGGTAATTGGGTTGAGCAGGCAACCCAAGCATTTATATCTGGACTCCACGCTCTTGACCAATATTCAGAATGAACTCAGATAGCAGTCAGCCTCAGGGAGTCGCTGGGTCATAGTAACATTATCTTTGGAGGCCTGGTGCACAAACATGCACACACCCACGGCCACCAAGGAGACGTCTTTTGGGAAGCATTTATTCCCTGACCATGACCTCAAAGCAAACTAGCAGCAACTGACGTTCATCTCTTCTCCCCAAGTTCAGGCATCAGGCTCCCATCATAGAACCATTGTGAGACCCATCGTGAGCTTCCAAGAGAGTTTCTGTTATACTCTGTAGAGATATGACCAGCAGCATTTTGTCCTGATTCTTAGGAGGCCCCTTGGAGCATACTTTTCTTGAAGGTTCTTAAAAAGCTTGAAGGATCATGCTGAAATGGCAGCTTTGTGCACTGGACTTAGAGTTTATTGGTTTATTTTAAAATCTGATCACCAACAAGGCATGAAACATAAAAGACCCACTGCTTAGGCAGAAATAAGGAATAGAATTAGCAAATGCCTCAGATACAAGGACAATATTTTAGATTTGAGCCCTGTCTCTACCACTTCCTAGCCATATTACCTTGGGAAAATTGTCTAATCTGTTGTAGCTTGAATTTTTTTTCCTCTGTTAGGTAGAGATAACAGTTCTTTGAGGGTTAAAGGAGATAACATGTACAAACAGCCTGGCAGATAGTAGGCGCTCAATAAATGTAGTGTCCTTCTTACCCAAACTGCTCCTCCCCTCCATTTGCTTTGGGAGAACTAGGACCCATATCTGAAGGATTTTGTGAGTTCATGTAGCCAAAGGAAACAGAATAAGCCCATGGGCTTAGGCACCACAAACAGTTGATGAGTCTGGCTTAAAAACACTTAAACTGTGGGGTAAGTAAAGAAGAAGGGGCTCCCCACTGTTTTCTTGAGTAATGCTTAGCCTACTCTCATTAAATGGCATCGTCCCTAAAGCATTGATTCCTTTCAGACCCACTGGGGATATATTTGTGCCTGTACCTGCAGTGTAGTTTCCTGTGTCTTTCTTTTAAGAATTTGGGGTTGGACTCTCTATGGTTGAGTGTTGCCTTGAACAGGGGTATAAGCTACACTCTGCAGCTGTTAACTTAAAGGAGGGCCCTCCCCCCCCCCCACCCCCCACCTTCTGCAAAGGGCCCTTAGCGGCTACTATCAGGAACTCAGTCCAGTAAGAATCTAGGAACAGGGGAATTTCTGTCCCTTTCGGTTTGGTAGGCAGCTCCTTGAGTCCATGGCTGGTGGCTGGAGCCGCCTTGGCGGGCTGGGAGGGAAATGAAACTGTCATTATCTGCTCAGCCAGATGGTTCTGCTCCTTCCTGGGGGCCAAACCCACGACTATCTTGATCTTAGTAGTAGAGTGTGTTTAGAAAACTTGGAGATAAGCAAGGAATGGTGGCATCATGTGTGACCATTGAGTGACATCAAGAGCCACTTTACAGCTTCAAAGTAAAAGATTTTCTTGTATCAGCCAACCAGGTTCCCCTGGAGAAGCAGAGAGGCTAGACTGACGGAGCCATCACTAGTAATCGGGACTAATGGCTTCTGCTTCCAGTCCTGCCAGTGACTTGTTAAGAGACCTTGGGTGAACTCCCTCAGGTGCTAAGTAAAAGTCAGGAAGTGTATGAGATCATTTGATGACATGTAGCACAAAATTCCATTTATCCACTTCTTATAAACTTCCCTAAGCAGGGAAGGTAATTAGAAATGAGCCCCTGCTGCTCTTGCCTTAAACTCCTAGTTAAGCCTTGTTTATTAAGAGACTTCTGCAGGCCACCTTACAGCCAAGTTGGCCTCCTTGTTCTCTCAGCACCAGAACCCATGTGGAACCCTGGAAAAGGGAGTTGTCTGTTAGGCACAGAGCAGCAATCAGTGCTGGTCGCCTCAAAGGAGTCAGCTTAAATGCTCCCCTCTGCGTCCGTGGCAATGAGGGGAAGGAAGTACGAAGCTAAAGCTGCAGAACCCTGTGCCCGGAAGCCAAGCGATGGGAACAGCCTCTCCCCAGATCGGCCTCCGGAGAGCTCGTCTTGCTGGATTTTGTGTCTTTTTCATGCTGCAGCTGTCTCTCCCCTACTGTCTCATTCTCAGCAATGGGTGACAAGCCGGCAGATGCGGTTCGAGGGCGGATTTCAGGGCCGCTGCAACAAGCTGGTGGACGGCTGCTACTCCTTCTGGCAGGCAGGGCTCCTCCCCCTGCTCCACCGCGCGCTGCACGCTCAAGGTGAGCCTGGGAGCTGTTGGCAGGGGCTAGATGATTTCCTTGGCTGCTAAACAAGTCAGGAAGCCTTTTTTAGAAGGCTTGAAATGAACTCCGTCTGTCCTGGATTTTGAGCGCCCCATGTGGAACCTCCTGCCTAAAAGCATGCATGTGCAGACTAGGATTTAGTTCCAGTGGTTTAGGGGTCATTGTGCTTCAGAGTGGCCATGGCTAGGAGGAGGCAAGTGCCTGGCCTGGGCTCCATGGTGACTGCCATCTCACCTGGGTGTGAAGCCACTGTTTCCATTGGAGAGCTCTGTATTGGTCCTGTTAGGACTGAAAACCCATGCTGTGCACATGGTTGCAACAGTGACGGAAAAGGCAATTGCATAAAGGGGCAGATAACTAGAACCCATGGAGAAAAGACCCACCATGTCTGGCTGGCTGCGTAGTTGCCGCCATTAGAAATGGTGTACTGGGGCCGGCCCGGTGGTGCAGCGGTTAAGTGTGCATGTTCTGCTTTGGCAGCCGGCGGTTCGACAGTTTGGATCCCAGGTGCGGACATGGCACCCCTTGGCAAGCCATGTTGTGGCAGGCATCCCACATATAAAGTAGAGGAAGATAGGCATGGATGTTAGCTCAGGGCCTGTCTTCCTCAGCAAAAAGAGGAGGATTGGCAGCAGTTAGATCAGGGCTAATCTTCCTAAGAAAAAAATGTTGTACAGTCATGTGCTGCATAACAATGTTTCAGTCAATGACAGACCATGTATACAACGGTGGTCCCATAAGATTGGTGCCATATAACCTAGGTGTGTAGTAGGCTATACCATTTAGTTATGTGTAAGTACACTCTGTGACGTGCGCACAATGATGAAATCTCCTTAATGATGCATTTCTCAGAACATATCCCGATCGTTAAGCAAGGTATGACTGTATTTTAAATTTACTGAAGAATCCTAAATGCAGGTTTGTTCCACCTGCACCAGCTGGAGTGGAGAGACCCATGTTCATTTCTGTGGAGTCTCAAATGGGAATGCAAAACCAAAGCAGTCAGAGAGTCAGCAAAACTTCTTGGAGCCTTCTCGTATTATCTCTTGAAGTCTCAGGCTGCCTGCAGACTCCTGAATCATCTCTCATTTATTTTATGTGAGAACACGGTGTCTCTGAAGAAACCAGTGGGAGAGGGGAAGCCGTGGCTGCCCTGCTGGGTGCTGACGTGTTCTTGGCCCAGGGGAGAGCTTTTCTTTGGGTTAGTAGTTGGGTAATTAATTGCTCAGGTATAGAAGACGAGATTCTTTTCTACTGTCCTCCTGCTGACACTTTTTCGTTCTGAGCCCCTTTCTTTAGTTTCTTAATTTAATTTGAGTCATGGCCACTTTTGATACTGACTTGAAGCAAAGAGCCTCTGTCCTGCCTGCCGCTCTCCCTGTCTGTGTCCTGAGAGTCCTTGGCCTGCGGTCCCTGGCTCTCAGTCTCAGGGCATTAAGACCTATCATTGCCCTGACTCTGTGGCCTGCACCGTCTCTGGCTTGACCACTATCGTAGGGAAATCGTGAATTCCTCGAGAGTCTAATACTTTCAAAACAGAACTAACTTGGGGTTTTCGTGATCTCTTTATCTGGAATTGGTGAGGTCGAGCCCCTGGTAAAACTGTCAGCCCTTTGCACACCTGTGCCTGGCAAGCATAAGATGCCATCATTCTGCAGTTGCCACTTAAGTCCGGAGAGAGCTGTGACAGGAGTGCTGCCTGCCAGAGCCTTCAAGGGGGCCCTCGCTGATGTTTCGTTTATTGTAGCCCAAGTTCTGGAGGCCAGTCACACTCAAAGCTTTGCCTGTGCATCTTGGTGCTTCCAGCTTTTTTTGCTGCCTGGGAGGAGCCCGTGTTGGGCCTGAAAGTCACCCACTTCTCAGAAGCAGTGGACTTGGACCAGCAGGGGTCTTAGGGGTCTGGGAAGAAGGGAAATGTTTTGAGTGGTGGGCAAAATACTGAGTTTAGGAATCAAAAGGAGATGCAATGCAGAAAGATATTCACAATATACTGTGATCAAAGTTACATTTCAAAGCAATCTGTATATAATTCCATTTTTAGTGAAGAGTTGACTCCAAAAAATTAATAGAAAGTATCTGGGTTGTGAAATGACAGGTGATGTGTGCTTTCTTTCTTTTTCATTTGTATCTTCTAACTTTTCTATAATTAATATGTATTTCTTACCTAAAGAAAAACAACAAAAGTTGTTTTACAAAAGAAGAGAAATTCTATAAAACAAAACAAGTAGCGAGGGGAAAACTATTTGTGACAAAGGATGAAGGGCTAATTTCTTCAATTTGACAAAGTCATACAAACCAATAAGAAACCGATGAAGAACCCAGCTGAGAAACCGGCAGAGGACTGAACAGACAGAATAAGGACTACGCCAGTGTTTCCTTTCGCTATAGCCGCTCCTGCTCCTAGCAGCCGGGACTTCCCAGCGCTGCCCTGGGCCAGGGGCTGAACTGAGTGTGTCACATGGATTTTCTCATTTGACCCTCAGAACAACCCTATGAATAGGTACTGTCGTTATCCCCATTTTACAGGTGACGAAACAAGGTCCAGTGAGGGTAAGTGAGTCGCTCTATGATACCCACTTGCCACCTACAACTATATCAGAGCTCTGCCTGTAACCACCACAGATGGTCATTAATCAAACGAAAAGGTGACAGTTAAAAGAAAGGCAAGTAAATACAGAGGATGCCATTCATTTTTACTCTCAGATCAGCAGAGATTAGAAATTGATGCCCCCTGTCGGGGAGAGTGTGAGGAAACAGGCCCTCCTGTCCTGTTAGTGGGCATGTGGATAGGTGCATCATGTTTGGAGGGTAGTTTGGAGACATCTGTTTAAATTATTTGAACCCAGCAAGTGCACTGTCAGGAATTTACTGGGAGAAATATTAGCAAAGGATGTGTATTGAAGCTGAGTTTTAATAGCAGACAGCCTAACTGCCCGTCAGGTTAACATTTGAATAAATTATGACTTGCCATACAATAGCTGCATACAGTTGGCTGACATGGAAAGCTCTCCAGGACCCACCATAAAGTGTGAAAGGGCAGGCCCAGAGCAGTCCGTGTGCACACGGGCTGGCACTCACACAGGTTTTCCTGGAAGTCGGCACAAACCCCTCTAATGGGTACCCTGGGGCAAGGGAGGGAGACTGACTTTTAACATTTTCTATCCTTCTGTACTGTGCTTTTTTTCCCGTTTTTTTTACCACGTGCATTACCACCTTTATTTTAGTAGGCGAACAAATATATTTTTAAAAGGTGATGGTCATGTTGCTAACTAAAAAGATGATAGACACCGGCACATGGCAGCACCTGAACCCAGGCCGGCCCCTGCGTTGGCACGTGGCCATGCAGGCACCGCCTGACACATGGAAAACCAGCATTTGAGTAGAAGAATGAATTAGTAGTAGTATCTTGAAAATAGCAAATGCTGACTAAATTAGAGAGTTTCTCCGTTTTTGTGGATCTTTTATTCTGTTTTTGTGGAGCAATAAGAAATCAGGCCTGAGAGTTTCTGTTGGAGTGCTAGTTACTAGCTGCTCATATGTTCTTTGGGACATGCCCCAGGCCTGTGTTTGTCCACCTGTGAAATTGAGCTACATGTGGCTACACCTGTCAGTTATTGTTTGAAAAACTTTTGATTTCTTGGATAAAAGGAACCTTTGAAATGGAAAATGACATTATAATGGGGATCTGAAATCTAAGGGAGAGGCATAAGGATTTAAAAGGCTGGTTCCAGGGCATGGTTATCACCCTGCAATCGGCTCTCCCTTCGTCTCACTATGATTGTGTGTGCTGTGTGCAAATTCATCTGGAGGTTCCTTGTCAAGTTTAGCTTTTAAACTTTTAAACTGAAACTCTGTAATCTATTTAATAATAAACATTAGCATTTTCTTTTCAGATTCCAATTTTGGCAATAGGTTATCATTTACCTTACAATAACAGTCTTTTATTTCTTATAGAATATGAAATAAAGGTATATTTTGTACAGATGTTTAATGCAGTTATCCTAAAGTTTAATAAAGATGCTTTTTAAAATATCTGCTTTCTTTTTCTTTTTTGGAGGAAGACTAGCCCTGAGCTAACATCTGCTACCAATCCTCCTCTTTTTTGCTGAGGAAGATTAACCCTGAGCTAACATCTGTGCCCATCTTCCTCAACTTTATATGTGGGATGCCTACCACAGCATGGCTTGACAAGCAGTGCATAGGTCCGCACCCAGGATCCGAACTGGCAAACCCTGGGCCGCTGAAGCAGAACATGTGAACTTAACTGCTGCGCCACCGGGCCGGCCCAAATAACAGCTTTCTTGAGATATAATTCACATCCCAATAACTCACCCATTTATAAATAAGTATACAATTCAGTGGTTTTTAGTATATTCACAGAGTTCCGCAACCACCACCATAATAGATTTTAGAATTTTTATCACCCCCCTCAAAATCCCTGTACTCGTTACATATGCTTCTTTAAAGAAGAAATCATGAAGACAAAATCAATAGTATGATTACAGCATATGTGTAAACCATATATAATTTTTTAAAAGCCTATATAACCAAAACAAAAGAGCAAAAAGGGGAAAAAAATAGGTGTAGCATATGATGCAGACAAAGGGTAAATATAATAAAAAGCTAGATTAATAAAATTGACTCTTGGATCTCAGAAGACAAAGGACAAACATACTTTCAAAAGGAAATAAACTAGTAAACAAAAGTTATGGGAAAATTTCACCCTAATGAGTAATCAAAGATATGCAAGTCAAAATAAATAATCAGATACTGTTTCTTTTTAACATTTTAATTGCTGAGAACTTTTTTAAAAGTAATTAATGCTGGAGATAGTGCAGGAAAATCTTAAATTTAGCTGGTGGCTGTATTAATTCTTAAGGCAGTTTATCAGTATTAAAAGCCTTAAAAATGTTTATTCCCTTCAACTGAATACTTCCACTCCAGTGAATCCATTTGGAGAAAATAATCCTAAACAGAAGATTCACAAAGATGTTTATTGCAGCATTTTTTATAGTTGTAAGGAACTGGAAACAACCTTGGAAATAAGCAGGAGATAGAGTGAAGTCCTATCATATATGTATGTATCACCTACAAAGTCAACTGTGCTCACAGAGAAAAAAGAAAGAGGAAAGTAATTAAAATAGTACAAGCCCTTCAGTCAGCGTGTGTCCCCGAGTGAGCGTCAGAAGGGACCAGAGGGCGCGCCTCCTGCGGCCGGGCTCCGTCTCGTGGGCCTCGTCTAGTGTGAGATCTCAGGGGCACTCCGTGGCTCTGTGTGGAACATGAGTGGTTTTTGTACAAGGACCCAGATGTCAGCCAACCACAGCACCTCAGCTGGTGCTCAACCCGGAAAATGGCGATTGCTTTCCCACTGCCCCATCTCTTCCTCCATTTCTCACTTAAGGAATTTTGAAATGATTGTTTTCTTTAGTATTCTATACATATAAATATTCCACAATTAAATGTTTTGCTTACGTATTCTCTTTACATGCTGTATTTACTTTAACTTGGATAAATTTTTGCCATAGAAGGCTCTGCATTCATAGATATGAGAGTTTTGGCCCACTGCCTACACTGATGAGTTACATTGTGCATCCACTTAAGGAAATGCTATATGGCTCTTCAGAATGGTGGTTATGAAGATTATGTTGCAGCACAGGAAAATCTATGCCTACACAGTCATGCGTCGCATAACGACGTTTGGTCAACAGTGGACTGCATATACAATGGCGGTCCCATAAGATTATAGTGGAGCTGAAAAATTCTTATTGCCTATTGACATTGTAGCCATTGTAACATCATAGCACAATATCTTAGTCGCATGTTTGTGATGACACTGGTGTAAACAAACCTATTGCACTGCCAGTCATAAAAATATAGCACATAGAATTATGTACGGTACATAATACTTGATAATAAATGGCTGTGTTACTGGTTTATGTATTTACTATACTATACTTTTTATTGTTATTTTAGAGTGTACCCTTTCTACTTATAAAAAGAAGTTTACTGTGGAGTATGCCATGTTATGCCCGCAGCAGGCTTCATACGTCTTGTATGTCTTGCTTGCATCATTTTCTCTGTGCTTGATTTCAGTATGCTCCATGATGTTCTCACAATGACAGAATCACCCAACGATGCATTTCTCAGAAGGTGTCGCCGTCAGTAAGCGACACATGACTGTAGTGTTAAATGAAAAACATAAAATACAAAATTGTAATAATCATAGCTATATAGAAAAATGCATAGAAATAAAAAAAACACTGGAAGAATGAAAAATTAGCTTTCAGTTGCCATTGACAGATTATTTGATATCCTTGTAGCTTAGGTAGCAAAGTATAAAATCGACCAAGGACTTAGTGCACATCCTATATGTGTATTTTTTAAAAATCAACTCCCATGTAAACATTTCTGCACACATCTGTCTGTTGGCGATTTATCCATCTTCCCCCCGGTAACTGTGTGACCACAGAATTCTCTGACCATACTGATTGAACTTCAGAGTGAAGAGGCCCAGTTGATTGTCACTACTTTCGTATTCTTACCAAAATTGCTAATTCCTGCCTGGGCTACCATATTATTTGATGCAGGAGGGCAGTTACTAGTAATGCTTTTTAGGAAAATTTTTGATCCAAGAGAAAAGTTGGAGAATCCCCTTTGGAGATAGATTAAATTCAGGCTTAGGAAAGTAGAAGAAACAGATGTTATTGCCTCTGTTAAGAGTTCTCTTAGCTAATTAGAGTGTGGTTAACAAGTTTCAGAGTTGTGCTAGAGGAAATGTCTTAAGAAGCCGTGAGTAAGGAGTTGTGGACCAAGTCAGGAGCAGTGACAGAGGCGAGTCTGGAAACCTGAGCTAAACAGCTAGTCCAGTTGTGCCAGAGATGTGGTTTAAGATGGTCACCCAAGGTAATCGGGTGCACTTCAAGTCAAACGAACGTGGCCCTGAGCTGCCGTTCTTAGACTCACGTCAAGGTTCAGGAGAAGGGATATGTCGTGCAACTTGGGTGAAGATATCAAGTGTCTCAAGAATGTAATTTTCAGAGTTAGTTCAAGAAGAATAGAGGGAGATGTTGACTGTTCCCATTGGGTGATAAACTACAGAGATGTCATGGAGACGTTGCTGAACCTCCACCAGCCTGGGCCCACACTGATCCTGTGCCTTTCTACAGGTGACCCTGCCCTCAGCATGAGCCACTGGATGTTTCATCAGCAGGCCCTGCAGGAGTACATTCTTATGTGCTGTCAGTGCCCCGCCGGGGGGCTGCTGGATAAACCTGGCAAGTGAGTGCCTCTCTCTGGGAAGGGAGGGCTGGGAATGGGGAGAGGGTGTGCCCCTCAGGCCTCCTCAGAACTACACGGAGCAGGCGCTGACCTTCAGAGGGGCTCCCTCTCCATCCAGCTGCTCAGTGCTGGTGTGACGTGGGTGGAAGCACCCCAGTCGGGCACACCCACTTCGAGTGCCATCGATCCTGGCCCATCCTTTCCCTCTGCTGACATGCACGCCCTCCCCAGATGGGTGAACAGATTGCTAGGTTGGTAGCTTTTATTTCCTCCTTTTTTAAAAAAACCAAACATTTAAATAGAACAGGATGCAGGATTTTAAAACGTCTAAGTGTTGCAAACAGAGATTATAATCATGACACCTATTACAGAGTAGATTAAATAACTTTAGTGCCATAATGAAAAAGGGAAATCAAGTCAGTCCTGTTCTCTTGCATGCACACACAGCCCCTGCATGCACACACCCTGCTGTCAGCATCCAGGGTGAGGCCCAGCTGAAGGCCGGTCCCCTGCAGTTTATCAGGAAGGATTTGGCCCATTTCTAGACATTTTGGTATTTTTTTGAGAAATATATTAATTTAGCACTAGCACCACCCTGGAGGGCCCTTTCCAGAAGAAGCTGGAGGGACTGACTCTAAAATGACAGTTCCCACTGTTGGGCAGGCTGAAGGATGGAGCTTTGAAAGAGGCTGCTGGAGAAAACCAGGCTTCCTCGAGCCACGTGGAGGGCCGGGTGGGACGAGTGAGTGCCTCCCGGGCCTCTGGGCCTGTGCTTACCTTCGTTGTTAGGGCTGTGCTGGGATGTTTGTGGGGAGCAGAGGAGCTCCTGCTCAGAGCCGCCCTGTCCTTGCAGGTCTCGGGACTTCTACCACACCTGCTACTGCCTGAGTGGCCTGTCCATAGCCCAGCACTTTGGCAGTGGAGCCATGTTGCACGATGTGGTCCTCGGTGTGCCCGAAAACGCTCTGGTAAGGCGGGATGGGGGGGCTCAACACTCCTTCTCCACGGGGTCCCCCAGGATGGGGGCTTATGGGAGAGCAGAGCAGCCACTGTTGCTCTGCAGAACTGGCTCTGAGCATCTCCTGTGTGGACAAGGCCGGCCAGCTCCAAGTCCCACCCTCCCTCAGTTTGCAGTCCATTCGTGAGGATGTGACTGTGGAGGAGATGCACTTCGAGGCAAACTCAAGGTTTCAGGCGAGGGCTCCAATCTGTGACCCCGGCTTTGCGCCTTTATTCCAGGGTCTAGGACCTGGCCCACTTAGGATTAGTTGCCTCTCTGAGGAAACTTCCTCAGAGGCAGTAAGTTCCAGCATCTGCAGCCACGCAGCCCTCAGTGTATGGCTGACTCTGTCTTCTGGAGTGCTCGGCCTGTGGGCCATCTCTCCAGAGAAGCCTTCTCAGACCACCGTCTGTAAATGAGATCACCCCCAAAATACTCTGCCACAGCCCCCTGTCCCTGCCCTTCATAACACTCGGCACAATTTGTAATGCGTCTGTTTAACTTATTTCTGTCTGCTTCCCTCAAAAACTGTCACCGCATGTGGGCAGGATGCTCACACTGCATCCAGCCCCAGACCAGCCTGGCCACAGGAGATGCTCCTGAGCCTAGACGAGAATCCAATAAGACTGTCCACAGCCACCAAATGACGGGCCCTGTGTAGATTGTCACGAAATAGTTCCAACAGAAGAAGCACAAATGGCCAGTAGATGAATGAAAAGATGCTTAGCCTTATTAATAATCAGAGAAAATCAGAGTAACAGCCATTCAGTTTTTTCAAGTCTGAACATTTTTTCGTATTTGCCTCCTCTGTAACCCTCCTCCTTCCCCGGCGTAACCCTGTCCTGAATTTGACATTCGTCGTGCCTACGATGTTTATGTGCTATTACTACACATGTATGTAGTTGTTTTATGTTTTCAAACTCTTTATAACGGTATCTACTGTACCACTTACTCTGCATTGCTTTTCTCACTGACCATTCTACTTCTGAGGTTTATCCGTGTTCATGTGTTGCTCTGGTTTATTCATTCAAACTCCTGTATGGTATTTCCTTGTACGAACGTACCCCAATTTATTTTTCTCCTCTCCTGTTGGTTAACACTGAGACGGTCTCGGGGTTTGCTGGTACAAACAGTGTTAGTGAACGTGCCTGTGTGAGTGTTTCTCTGGGAGAGACTTGCCGGGTTGAAGGGAACAAACACCTTGGCCTTCACTCGGTGGCACTGAACGCTCCCCCACATCCCTGTGCTGTTTCACGCTCACACAGCATGGAGACGAGTCGCTCCACAGTCAGACTTTTCCTTTCTGCCAATTTGGTGGATGTGAAATGTGTCTCAGTTTTGCTTTGCATTTCCCTGATTATTGGCGAGGCACGGCATCTTCTCAGATGTTTATTGGCTGTTTGTATTATGTCTTCTGTGAATTGCCTGCCAGCTCAGATCCTTTGCTCATTTTTTTACCAATCTGCAATTTTAATTCTTTGCCTTTTTCTTACATATTTTGAGGGCATTCTCTGTGTGTTCTTGATACTAATCCTTTGTCAGTGGTGTGTGTGTGGGGTGAACCTCTTCCAGTTTGTGACTTGTCTTGTCAAAGAAAAACTTGTCTTTCTTTTTAGTGTTTTTTTGTTAAATAGGAGACTTTAAAGTAAACAATTTAACTTGCTTTTTTGGCTTTTGAGGGTTTTTTTGGCGGGAGGGTTACTTAAGAAGTCTTTCCCTACCCTGAGGTCACAGATATATTTTCTTCTAAACAGTCTAAAGTTTTGCTTTTCCCATCTAGATTTTTAATTCTCTTGGACTTGGTTTCTGTCTATGGTAAGGGGTGGATATAATTTTGTTTCCATATGGATAACCAATTGACCAGCACCATTTGTTGACATTCACATCCTTTCCTACTAATGTGGGTCGTGGTGTCACACTCAGCTTTCTGCATATGCTGTGACTCCGTTTCTGGACACTCGCTTCTGTTCCTTTGGTCTGTTTGTCTGCACTGTGTGTGTGTGTGTTTAATACACTGCAGGATTCAATTTGCTAGTATTCTTGGCTAGTATTTTTATGTCAGATTTTTTGCATGTATGTTCATAAGAAAGATTGATCTACAGTTTTGTTGTGTTGTATTGTTCTTTTCCAGTTTGTGTTTCAGGATAGTATCATAGCCTCAGAAAATTAGATGGTATCTTCCTCCCCTAGTTTTTTTTTTTTTGTCTTTGAAAAAGTTTGTGCAAGTTAGAGATGTTCTGTTTCTTGTACGTTTGATACCGTTGCCTGAGAAACCATCTAGGCCTGGTATTTTGAGGGGGTAACGGTGGTAGCAGAATAAGCAATTGTTATTATTGTTTTAATTTATTCACATAGGTTTTAAAGAATTTTTCCTTGAGTTAATTTTGAAAATTTATGTTGTTCTATAAAATTCTTCATTTTATCTGAATTTTTATGTCTTGGCGTGAAGTCGCTCATAGCATTCTCTTAAATTTTTGGAATCTCTCCTGCAGTTACGTCTCCTCCTCCGTCCTCCCCGAGTGGGACAGTCCTGAACGTGGGCCTAGGATCGTGCCCTGTCTCAGACCTAAAGTTTCTTTTGGGTTTCTGTGATGTAGCGGAATAAGATAAAAGAATTTAAATATGGCCTATCACCTTTACTGTGTAATAGGGTTTGATCCTTTTTCTTGATTATAAATATGAATACATGTTCATTGTTTTAATCATTGGAATATATATAAGAATATAAATAAGACAATTTAAAACAATCAAATCAATGTTCCTATTTGGTGGATGTCCAATTTTTGCCTATTCATACACATCACATCTACAAAGACTATTTTAAAAACTAAGTCTGCGGGGCTGGCCTGGTGGTGTCGTGGTTAAATTTGCACACTCTGCTTCAGCAGCCTGGGGTTCGCTGGTTCGGATCCTGGGCGCGGGCATAGCACGGCTCCTCAAGCCACGCTGTGGAGGCATCCCACATAAAGTAGAGGAAGATTGGCACAGATGTTAGCTCAGGGCCAGTGTTCCTCATACACACACGCACAAAAAGTAAGTTTGGGATAACACTGTGCATCCTGTTTTCCTCACTTACTATATTACAAGCATTTGCCCATATCATTAAATACTTGAAAGCATGTTTTTGATGGCTATATAATATTCCTTTGTGTCCCATGTACCATGAAATGTTTTTACCAGTACCCTGTCCTTGAGCATTAGGGCCTTGTGTGATAAATCTCCATGAGCATCTCTGACGATTTGTTATGCTAAATCCTTGCAAGTGTGTTTAGTGGGTCAAAGGCCGTGCACATTTCTAAGGACCACTGGGGTTGATTCGTTGGCATCTGTTCTTCTCTTTGCAGCAGCCCACTCACCCTGTGTACAATATTGGACCAGATAAGGTGATCCAGGCCACCATGCACTTTCTGCAGAAGCCGGTCCCAGGCTTCGAGGAGCATGAGGATGAGGCAACAGCAGAGCCTGCCACCAACTAGAGGACACGGGGTCCCGCGGCTCTTTTACCCACCTCCCCAGTCAGCCCAAGGTTTATACGTTTTGATACATACTGCATTCTGTGCGGCACAAGCCTTGGCCACCATGGAGCTGTGGTTCTTTGTCTTTTCTTGTCAAAAAAAACCAAAACCAATGGCTCTGAGTTTGGAGAACACAGTGGCATGGTTTTTAAAAAATTCTTTCCACTCCTGTCAAACCAAAAATCTGTCAGTCCATGTGGCACCTAAGCCCAGCTCTGGCCTGGCCAGGGTGGTTGGGGAATGGTGCATGCTGGGAAGAAGCAGCCCCTCCCCACCAGCTCTCCAGCCCGGACAGTCACATTGAATGAATCATGTCTCTGAGTATTACAGCTCCCAGAGTCACTGCTGCGATTCCCACTTGCATGGCACCATTAAGTTGCCAGGAAGGTGCCCTCCTGTGGGTGGAAATAGTCTACTCCATGCTGAGTGGTGGGGGTGGGGAGCTTTGGGTCCCACCAAAATGAATTCTCCAGAAATAACCCTGGTGGGGCTTCACCAGGAGGTGCCTGAGGCTCTAGCCTCCCACCCTGGTCATTTGCAAGGGAAAGGAGCTGGGGGTGGGGGAGAAAGGTCTCCTTGAGTTGTGAGTGCCTTCCCCCCACACTGGAGAACTGAGCCACACATCACTCCAAGGCCGCGCTTGGTGCACGGGCAGGATTTGCTTTGGCCCCAGGTGTGGTGACTTAGACCGGGGAAACCAATTATGAGTGGAAAATGAACCTCTGGTTCAACTGCGTGCCAGAGGAAGCAGCCCCAGTACCCACCCCTCACCCCACTCCATCATGTACCGTGAAAAACCCCTCTGACGTCCTCCAGGCAGCGCCTGCAGCCCGTTCTGCATGTTTCCATCCTTCTTCCACCAGACTCCCAGCCCACCCTCCTCAAAGACAGTGTTGTCTTCTCACCCAGAGTATTAACACTACTAAGTCTTTCACCTTAATTTCTGACTCAGGATTTATTCACACCCTGCCCACTCCAGGCTCACAGAAAGAAGATCAAGTGGGAGACAAGCTGGCTACCGTGAAGGCAGCTGCCATGAAGGCAGCAGCCGTGTAGACCTGGCTGCAGCAGGCTGAGCGCTGCCCGTGGTGTGCAGCTGGCAGGGCCTCTGCTGCCCACACGGAACCCTTTCTCGGTCAGTGGGGTGTTGAGTTGGGTCCTCTGTCCACGGCTCCGGTCACAGCCAGCTCCGTGTCGCTGACCTGGCCTTCACGGAAGCAGCCGTGAGCTGCGGGCAGATGGAGCTTGGAGATGCACCAGGAGGCTCTTCTCAAACACCCTGGCCAGCTGCTGCCTCTAATTCCCTATTGCTGTGGTGTACTGGGCTGTGTATTACCTCCTTGAAATAATAAAAGAATAACATTTTCCATGATGTCTCTCATTTGTGAGTGGTACCAGGAAATTCCTTCAGAACGCCCAGTGTTAGGAGTTACTGAAGTTGTTCCCAGATGGCCAGTCTCCTCCTGTGTGTGAGATTCCAGACCATGGGCCTTCGTGATGACAAAGAGGGCTGTCTCGGGTTCCGCCCCCACACGCCTTCTGCAGTTGCGGACCCAGAAGCCTAAGGAGTGGGAAAGGCTCTGTGTTTCCCAAGCTCCCGGGAGCAATTCAGTTTCCTTTTGTCCCAGCACTCGGCACGCATTCATGGTTTGTCTGTGTGTCTGTCTCCTCGACCTGACTGTGAGCAGGGCCTGTGCTCCTGAGTCCCAAGGCAGGCATTCAGCAACAAGTGGGTGAGTGGACATCTTGGCCAGAGGCAGGGAGTTGTCACAGGGATAGGCCGGAATCCTCTGGTCACCTGGCATTCCTCATCTGGTGAGAGACCTTCCCCCCAGGGAGGCCAAGAAGGCAGGTGTTCTGGGGCCTGACCTTCCTAGATGGAAGAGAAGAGGGTCTCCTCAGAGGTACAGCATAAGCCAAATCCACATCCTGGAATGTAATTCCTGTCCCTGTGCTATTTTTGCCCTACTAGCAAAGGTTCAGACTACAAAGCGACATACTGAACTGCATTCTTCCTGTCACTACAACAAAAGGCCAGTCCTCTGACACCAGTAGCCCCAAGGTATTATGAGATTAATCGCAGTGATAATTGGTGTGATTAAGACACAGAAGGGATTGCTTCAGTCTAAGCTGGTTTATACCAAGGAGGGAGGATTTGAGCTGGGCCCCAAAGAGTAGGTGAGTTTGGCCAGGTGGAGAAGACAGGGCTGTTTTCTGGTATTCTTATCTCAGGGAAGTTTACACTGGCATGTCCATGAGACTCCCTTTCTCCTCCTAGTCGGGTCTGGAGGATTTCCAGCATTCAAAGTGGATCTGGGAGATAAATTCTCAGATTTATCTTGTGGATCCTCAAGTAGAAAACACATAGAGCATTCAAGGTGGGTTACCCCAAATAAATATTTCCCCTATCAATAAAGAAATACAAAACTACACAGATCTCCAAATCCAGATGGGCCTCAAATTTCCCCTTGGACCCATCTCAGACCCACCTTGAGTGTCACGTAAGTTGGGAGGCTTGCCAGAGCCTGCTGTCAGAAGGAGAGTCTCATGGATCAGCCGGCACAAACTCCCCCGAGGTAACAATACCAGTCACCAGTATTCTGAAGCTGCCCTCTCTTCACGCTATCATTTCTGAGTTAGAAGCCACAGGTTAGAGTCTGGCCACTGCGTTGTGGACGACACAGTAGTATCCTTGATGAAGCCGCTTCTCCTGAACACCTCACATGAGAGCAGAGGCCATATGTTAAATAACAGTTCCCTGGTGGCCTTTCGTGGATTACGAACCTTAGATCTTGGTATGTTGCTTCCTTGCAATTTAACTTAGCAGAGAGATGGTGTTTAGAAAACCCTGGCAGGGTGGTGGCTTTCATGACCTTGGCTATTTCACCATTATTAACTGTCTATGCTGGACTTCTGGCAGGAGCCTGATAGCTGGAATTAAAAATGGAGCTCCCTGATTGCCCTGAGAGCACTATATTGTTGGCAGAAGTGGAAACCATTGGCTTCAGATCTCAGATGTACAGATAACAATGCTGACATTACATTATGGAAACTGAAGACCTTGTCTCTTAGTCCCATCATGTTTACATGGATCCCACCTCCTTATGGCAGTGGGTCACTGGGCTTCCTTAGGAATCTGCCAGTAGCTTCAGCATCCAAATTCAGGGGAAGGGAAAGGCCCAGGGTGGGAAATGAATGTTCTCATGCCTGCAGGCTTCCTAGACACTGACTGTGGCCAGGGCTACTAAGATACAGGCACTGCAGAGGCCAAATCTTACCAAAGACATAGGACGTGTCTCATTCACTGGGATAAGTGCAGTTCAATACAAGTTTGCTTTCCTAAGGCTGGTAATAGGACCCGATGGGAATGGGCTACAGATGCCTATGATGGAGGGCTACTCTGTTGCTTCCATTTGGGGACACAGGTATTCATTTTGGGAGAAGTACTTTGCTAATATTTTATTCTCCCACCATCTACACCAGGGGGCAGCAAACTTTCTTTGTAAAGGGCCAAAGAGTAAATATTTTAGGCGTTGCAAGCAACTACTCAACTCTTCTCTGCCGCTGTAGTGCAAAACAGCCATAGACAAAGTGTGGCTGTGTTTCAGTAAAACTTTATGAAAACGGGAGTTGGGCCGGATTTGGCCTTGGGTTTGCCTACCCCTGATCTAGACTAAATCCCATTTATATTCATTCAACATCTTTCCACATCTTTCATGGCTGGGGTGCTTTCCACGTAATATTAGTGTCAGACAACAAATGTACTTAGTAAAGTTTGGACCAAACGTTGTAGCCACCCATATACACTGCCCAGGGCACTCACTGCCTTTGAACAGGAAAGAGAATTATATGATTTAAGATATTGTTACAACTGACAGAAAGCCTGACCCAAACTGGCTTAAAGCAAAGAGGAAACGTGCTGACTCATAAACTAAAATGTTTAAGAATTAGCTTGGCTGGCTGAGTGGCTCAGTAGGTTTCTCTGGTCTCTCCGTCTCTCTATATTAGCTCCAACCTCAGGGACTCTCCATGTGGTTGTAAAATGGCAGCAGCGATAGCTCCAGAACTTATATATCCTCTTAGCCTCAAGCTCAGCAGACTAGGGCAGCTGGCACTGTCCCAGCCTTCCGTCCCTGTGAGTATCATTACATTTCATTGGGTTTGATCAAGCCAAGTGCCTTTCTGAGAAGCAGCCCAGTGGCCAGGAGATTACAGTGCACTGATTGGCCTAAATCTTGGTCACATGCTTCTATGAGTGGGAAATGGGGCTCCATCAGAAGCACATGGCCTAAGAATGGGGAAGGAATGAAGCCCCCAGTGCAAATTAGGGTTGTAGCCAAAAGCGGGAAATGGATGCTAGAGAGGTAAGTCACCATTGTTCTACACAATGGTGGACTCTCACTGTAGTGGACATTGCTGGCATCCTCCCCTCCCCAACTGTGGCAGCCGAAAGGCTTGCATGGGTTTCACTCCCCCTCCTACTACCAGGGCCAGGCCCTGATTGGCCTAAGCCAATCATTTAAATCCATCCTTCTTTGCTTTAATAATTTCTGCAGGTTTGGTAATAACCCAGGCCTAAGCCAATCAGCATGGCTTGTCCTCATGACTGATTCAGAGCCAAGCATATGGCCTAAAATAGACTAGAGAGAGAGAGAGAAGCCCTGGACATTCGATGGTAGGGAAGAGCAGCTCTCTCCTATTAAGGATGGTGGAATGTGTGGCCTGGGACTCCTACAACCATTTCCCTAGCTAGGAGGAAGCCAGCCTTAGAAGCCACTACACACAGACTCCCTGAGAGACTTACTGAGAAACATGGCCAGGACCCTGATCACACTGCTCCTGGGGCCTGCTCGGCCTCTGGATTTTTCAGCTATGTGAGCCAGTTTGAGTTGGATTTACTATTACTTGAACCCAAAGCATTCTAACACGTATAAAACTCTATTCCAAATTAGCCCCAGGGCCATGAAGGTCCTTACCTGCTGCCTGAAGAACACTGACCGCCCTTGCCACGTCCACCCAAACAATAAAGCCTAAGAGCGTCCCTCCTGGTCCACCGCCTATCCTCATCTGACCTCTGACTCAACCTCATGAGGTGGGTGAGGCAGGTGTGTTATCTGCATTTCACAACTAGAGAAACAGGTCAGAGAGCTTCAGTGAATCACCCAAGGTTTCCTAGTTCTCAAGTGGCAGTCTGGCCCTGAACCCTGATCTGCTGCCTCCAGCATCCATGTGGTTCCACCACCCCAGGGCTCTAACGGGGGTGACGTGGGTGGTCTTGGGGGGTGGGAGACAGGAGCTAAGCATGCATGGGTTACCTCCAGGGCTGGATGGCTGCGGCCCCGAACGCCTGCCCCCGTCTTTTACCAGAATGAGGATGGTGACAGCCAACAGCAGGACAGGGCTCAGCTCAGCTGTCTAACTGTCCTCCATTCTCTGCCAAGTCCCTGGCACAGAGTGACGCTCCTTGCAGCAAATGTGTGCCACTCCAGTGCAGAATGTGACGCTGTGTGACTCACAAGCAAGGCCGAGGTGAGTCAGTCTTTCCTGGAGCTGACCACAGCCCGGATGGCGGCCAGCCTTCTCTAGCCCGGCCCGGCATGCCTAACCGGTTCCTGGACATCCTCTTTCACTTTCCCGAAAGAACTACCTTGCCTCTGCTTTTCACCAGCTGGTTGCAGGAGGTTCAGAGGACGGTGCCAGGTGGCTGATGTACCTCCCTCCTACTTCTCAGCACGTGCAAGAACAAAACCAGGCAGGCGGGGCAGGCTGCTCATCACCAGCCCAGCTTAATGGGAAACTTGCCCTGCCGTCTGCCCCCCAACCCCCGGGAGAAACACAGCTCTTGCAAAATAACAACAACGCATTTTTAAAAATAAACTTTTTGTTTTAAAATAGTTTCAGACTGACAGAAAAATTGCAAGGATAGTACACAGACTTCTCACATACCCCTTAGCCAGTTTCCCCTGTTGTCATCGTCTTACATGAATATGGTTTGTCACAACTAATAAACACTATTGATCCATTATTATGAACTAAAGTCCATACTTTATTCGGATCCCTTAGTTTTGTACCTGATGCCCCTCTATCTCAGGATCCCATCCAGGACACCTCATTGCATTTAGTTGTCACATCTCCTCAGGCTGCTCTTGGCTGGGACAGTTTCTCAGACTTTCCTTGTTTTGGGTGACCTTGACAGTTTCGAGGAGTACTGGTCAGGCGTTTTGTAGAATGTCCCTCAACTGGGATCTGTCTAATATTTTCTCATGGTTAGACTGGGGCTCTGGGTTTGGGAGGAGGACCACAGAGGTACAGTGCCCTCTCATCACCTCCTATCAAGGCACATCCTATCAACACGGCTCACCACTGATGCTGCGAGCCCTGGTCATCTGGCTGAGCTGGTGTCTGTCAGGTTTCCCCACCAGAAGGTTCCGCTTTCTTCCCCTTTCCATACTGTACCCTTTAGAAAGAAGTCTCTGTGCACAGCTCACACTTAAGGAATGGGGAGTTATGCCCCACATCCTTGAGGGTGCAGTATCTGTGTAAATTATTTGGAATTCTTCTGTATGGGAGGCTTGTCTATTCTCCATTTATTTATTTATTTATTCAATCATTTATTTACATCATGGACTCATGAATATTTATAATCCATGCTTTGGGTTACGTTCCAATACTGTGCTATTTTCTTGCTCAAATGGTTCCAGCTTTGGCCATTAGGAGCTCTCTAAGTTGGCTCTTGTGTCCCTTTGACATACTCACACTTTCTTACTTTTAATAGTAATAATGGATTTTTCATCCCCTTTCTTTCAGGAAGTATTGCATGTTGATCACTGTTGACACTGGATGATGGGTTCATGGGGGTTCAGTATACTACTC